TGACTTTTTCTATTTGCTTCTTCTTATTTTTTTTTTTTTACATGTCTTGTGCCTTTTGTTGTTTTTTTTATTCTCTATTAATGCCCACATACCCCCCCCCCCCCCCCCCCCCCCCCCCCGCCCGCCCCAGTGTCGACACATGTAGTAGTAATCGCACGGAACGGACTGAACTATCTCACCGACGCGCCAACGGAACCGAAGCTGACTGGAGCTAGTCAGATCCGACCCAAGACGTTTGCTTACTCGATTTTGGCGCGTGGGTCACCTTTGCGATTGAGGTCAAGACACGCGTCCACCAGTAGGCAGCAGTGCCAGCCTGGCCTCTAGATGTGCTCGCCTCGTGCGGCCGACTGTCGCTGACACTCATGCGCGCGGTATACGGGAGCTTGAACGATTTACGTCGGTGGGTTGATGTAGCAGACACCAGACATGATCCTAGTCGAGCAACATCAAATGACGGCGATGCCTCCCTCGGGTTCTCGACACTACATGTACCCACGTCATCAAACTCTGCATGTACAATGATGCGACTTTCATCAGGAATGCAACCCAAAGTTGATCAAAGATCTGCGATGACCCCCTCCGGATTAACAAAACAACCCCAACTTGTTTCTCTCCGGCGATCCCCCGCACAGCATGATCAACGAGTGCACGCATCGTTACATTGAGACAGCCATGGGTCCCATGAGACACTGGCGGGCCGCCATGACGGCACACAAGAAGAGACGGCTGTCCTTGATTCAGGGCCCAGGCTGCGCCAAGCGAGACCTTCCGAGCTTCACATCACAGTTTGAACGATGAAGTGTTTGACTTGGACGTACGCGCTTGCTGCTGCTGGACTGGCAGTTGCAGCAGCTTCTATCGATGAATGCCCAGGCTACAAAGCTTCCAACATCGTCGAGGGCGATACTGGCCTCACGGCCGATCTCACGCTCGCCGGCGAGGCGTGCAATGCTTATGGACTTGACCTCCAAGACCTCAAGCTCGTAGTCGAGTATCAGACTGGTGAGCGATGTGCTTGAGTATGTGTCAATATTCTCTGACATTCGAGTAGAAGATCGCCTGCATGTGGTCATTCACGATGCAGATGAGCAGGTCTATCAGGTCCCGGAGTCGTACATCTCCCGACCAGAAAGTAGCAAGCAAATGAATGCGAATGCCGCTCTGTCATTTGATCTCAAGCAAGACCCCTTTTCGTTCACAATCCGGCGCAAAGGCTCAGGCGAGATCCTGTTCGACACGAGCCGCCAGCCACTCGTCTTCGAGTCACAGTTCTTGCGTCTGCGAACGTCTTTGCCAGACAATGCCAACCTCTACGGCTTAGGCGAGCATTCTGATCCTTTCCGTCTGCCGACCCAAGACTACACGCGGACACTCTGGAACGGCGAGTCGCCCTTTATACCTCGCGGCTCCAATCTTTATGGAAGCCACCCCATGTACCTCGAGCACCGGACAACGGGCAGCCATGGCGTCTTCTTTCTCAACTCGAACGGCATGGACATCAAAATCAACACGACGGCCGAAGACGGCACGTTTCTCGAGTACAACACGCTCGGCGGTATCCTGGACCTGTACTTTCTGGCCGGCGACTCCCCAAAAAATGTCAGCAAGCAGTATGCCGAGGTAGTCGGTCTCCCTGCCATGATGCCCTACTGGTCTTTGGGATTCCACCAGGCAAAGTATGGCTATTGGGATGTAAACTATCTCGCCGAGGTCGTGGCCAACTACAGCGCGGCGGGGATCCCTCTGGAGGTCATCTGGGCAGACATTGACTACATGGACCTGCGAAAGAACTTTGTCACGGATCCTGTGAATTTTCCCATGGACAAGATGCGAGAGCTTGTCGACACGCTCCACGATCGACATCAAAGCTTCATCATGATGCTCGACCCCGGGACCAGCACCAACACAAGTTATGACCCGTACATTCGTGGCCTCGAAGCTGACGCCTTCCTGTTGGCGGACGATGGCTCTCCCTACCGAGGCGTCCAGTGGGCCGGAGAGGTCGTCTGGCCTGATTACACTTCACCAGAGGGCGTGGACTGGTGGGTCAATGAGATGGACATCTTCTTTGACCCCGACACAGGTCTCGACGTGGACGGGCTCTGGAACGACATGAACGAGGCATCCAACTTCTGCCCAGACACCACCTGCGATCCCAAGAAGCACGCAGACGACACGAACACGCCTCCTGACCCTCCCTTCCCAGGTCGACCAAACACGGGGCGGCCCATCCCTGGGTTTCCCGACAGCTTCCAGCCCAACAGCACGGCCCTGCGCACTCGAGCCAGCGGGGACAAAAAAGGTCTACCGGGCAGAGACCTGCTCAATCCAGAGTACCGAATCAACAATCACCTTGGCGACATTAGCGACAATACCATCTGGACAAACATCACCAACCACGATGGGACCTCGCAGTACGACACGCACAACATGTACGGCCTCTCCATGGTCAAGGCGACCCGCGCGGGCCTCATCAAGCGCCGTCCCTCGTCTCGCCCCTTTGTCCTCACCCGCTCAACCTTTTCCTCCTCGAGCGCTTACGCCGCCCACTGGTTCGGCGACAACAACTCGACCTGGTCAGACTATCGCGTCAGCATCCCCCAGATGCTCGGCTTCACCGCCGTCCTCAACCACCCCATGGTCGGCTCGGACGTGTGCGGGTTTAACGGCAAGGCGGAGGAGGCCATGTGCGCGCGCTGGGCTATGCTGGGCGCCTTTATGCCCTTTTACCGCAACCACGCCGACATTAGCAGTGACTTTCAAGAGTTCTATCAATGGCCGAGCGTCGCCGCCGCCGCTAAAAGGGCAATCGACGCCCGGTACCATCTGCTCGACTACATCTACACGGCACTATACAGGGCGAGCGCCACGGGTGTCCCGAGTGTCAACCCGCTCTTCTTTGTGTATCCAGAAGACGAGGGTACCTGGGCTATTGACACGCAGTTCTTTTTGGGGGAGAGCATCCTTGTCAGCCCTGTCACGAACGACGACTCGCAGACGGTGAACTTTTATCTCCCCAACGATGTGTTTTATGACTTTTGGACGGGAGACAAGATCGAGGGGAGCGGGGCGGTAGTTGAGCGAACAGGTGTAGCGTGGGATGACATTCCGGTGCATATCCGCGGGGGAAGCATCATTCCCATGCGGTCAGAGTCTGCCAACACGACGACGGATCTGCGTGGTAATGACTTCACTCTGCTCGTGGCGCCGGGCAGAGACGGCAAGGCTCGGGGGAGCTTGTACCTCGACGACGGGGAGACGATGGATACGGGGGGCGAGGAAACGAGTGATATTACGTTTGAGTGGGATGGAGTCGGGGTCAGATCCACGGGGCGCTTTGGATACAAGAGTAGACGGGTCGTGGAGAAGATTGTCGTCCTGGCTGATGAGGATGACGAGGTGGTGGGTTCGTGGAGCCTAGATAGGGAGTTTGATGTCGAGATTCGCGATCGAGGTGAGGAGATATAGAGCAGTCCGCTGACCTGACCTCGTGGTGCTTGCGACTTCATGTAAAGCTTGAAAACTGTCATGCTTCAGGATAGCCTATACCGCTTAGAGAGCTGTTAGGGAAGGGGTACTCTTGCGAGGCTGCTCCCGGTCTCGTGTAAGATCCGCCATTGCGCGAGCATGGACGTCAAAGCTGAGCTTCGTCGATGCAAGCGACCGTAGTGACCATGTCTTGCCCGAATTATGCATGTAAGAAATCAAGCAAGTATCGCAAGTCTTGGGACTTGATGTTCGATTATGAGGCCCTCCACGTGACCATGATGGGTCGACATCATGCACAGGGCTGACCTCGTGCGACAGCGGAGCCAACTTGAGCACGTTTACGCCTGATTTCACTACGCTCACGAGGCCTCTCAAGTCTTAGAGCATGTTCTACGAGGTCTCTCGCGAGACTTTAGGCATAGGCAGATCGCAGCCACGATGACTTCAAGTCTGGCCGCAACCGCCTCACGTCTTCTTCAGCGTCTCACGTCCCGGGTCTTGCCTTCCGACACATCTGATCCCTCGCGGCGTTTCCAATTCATGTCCGATCTGCACCTTGAACTCTGTCAGCAATACACCACCTTTGACTTCCCTGTGACGGCGCCCTATCTCATTCTCGGCGGGGACATTGGCCGCCTCATCGACCACGATGGGCTCCTAGCCTTTCTTCAGCGGCAGACCGCCCGGTATGAGCGCGTGTTCTTCATCCTGGGGAACCACGAGTTCCATGGCATGTCATACGAGGAAGCGGTGCACAAAGCGTCGCAGCTGGAAAATGAGCCGTCGCTCGAGGGCAAGGCCACCCTCCTGCATCAGGGCCGGTACGACCTTGACCTTCCGTCCAAGCCAAACATCACGATTCTAGGATGTGTTCTGTGGTCACAGATTGCAGCCGAGTCGGCTGACAAGATCGGCATGATGGTCAGTGACTTTAAGGAGATTCGAGGCTGGTCCACCACCGCACACAGCGCCGCACACGCATCGGATCGGTCGTGGCTGCAATCTAAGCTACGCCGTATCCGCGAGGAGGATGCCGGTCAAGCGCAGCCACGGGACGTGATTGTCGTGACGCACCATGCACCTCTCGTCAAGGGGACGGCGAGCCCACAGCACGAGGGCAACGTTGTGAGCTCAGCCTTTGCGACGGATCTGTGCGTGGGTGAAGAGTGGAGCAGCGTCAAGCATTGGGTGTTTGGACATACGCACTGGACGACAGAGCTGGAGTCGAGGAATGGTGTGAGAGTTGTGAGCAACCAGCGAGGATACGTCTTTCCAAGGGATAAGCGGCCTGTAGATCAGAGGCCGGTGAAGCATACCTTTGACCCATCGAGATATATTCTGTGTTGAATTGGGACTGATTGGATGTCATGCTGTACATGTCGTACATGTGCGTGTTGTGAGTGAAGTCGGGGTTTGCTGACGTGGAGTGACATGCAGCTGGACGAGCCAACGCCAGCGCATGAGCAGAGCGCATCGGGAAGTTGGAGGAAGAGGTCGGTCGGGGAAGATCAGGAGGATATTCCCTTCTTCACTGGAGGTACTTGCAGATGAGTCTAAGTGAGACTGCAAACCAAGTACTCGAGGTTGCAGCACAGTACAGAGATCACTAACTGCATGTTGATGGGTCCAGGATGGGCCACAAGCCTTCACCGCGTTTTGTGTCCTGGTCTTTTCGACGTGCCTTCCGGGGGGTTCTATGGCTTGGACCTGATTTGGATGTCAGTGTCTGCTCAATTGCTGCAGCCCTCGGCCAGATTGAGAGAGAAAGTTGATATTGGAGGGTCATTCTTCGCAAAATGATGCTCTGGTGATGATGAAGGTGAAGTCAAATGCTGCTGAGAAGCCTGAGAACCAGATCGATCTATAGCGGTTGAGGCGCCCGCCATGATGACCTAGAGCCACTAATTTAGCGAACCAGCGGGCCACTAACAGCCAGCGCCCGCCAAGGCCCAGCCACCTGAGCCCACCTCACCCTGAGTTGAGCCCCCCATTCGACGCCTTTGGCCTCCAGTCCATTTATTTGTTTGGCTCCTACATTCGGCCTTGCCAGTGTCTCGCCTGTTGGATTCTCCAAAAACAACACGCGACGGACGACGCAGGATACCCTCTGGTGTCGCTCTGCCATTCCCATTGGGGTTGGGTTTCACGTCGCTGTCTGCTTCTGCTCGGCTTTCCCGCTGCGCGACATAGCTTGAGGCTATACCTGTACAGCTTCGCGAGGCGTCGCGTGGATCAACAAGACTAGCTGGCGCCGGAAGTTCAACAGCAAACTCCTTTCCTGCGATATACTATGACTACGGCGCGCCTTTGAACTCAGCCTGCGATTGATCATGATACGATACCACTGCGCGTGCTTGCTACTTTCATACTTACTCGAAATCTGAACGCGTTATGGAGGGCGCGAAGGAAGGCGCAAAGGCGCGTCCAGCAAGCTCTTCCTCACCTGGCATCAAGAACCTCGCAATCAACGGGAGTCACGACCGCAAACCACTCTTCTCACGGCACCAGTCCACCACCTCGGCCGACCACGCCCACTCCCCTTCGAAACAGCCCGCGCTGAGCCGACGCGCTAGCAGCGCGAGCACCTCCAAGCTCCCCACGAGTTCCTTGTCGCAGGGCACGCGCAAGCCGCTTTCCCTGACGGAAGCTATGCGCCTTGCCGAGAAGGAGGAGGGCCTGCAGGCAGACCACACCGACGATTCCCAGCCCATCGATGCCTCGCCGAGTCCTGCGCCCCGCCCGTGGCGTGAAAAGAAGGACAGCGTGGAGCCGATCCCCCTGAAGAAGGACGGCGTGAAGCGCACCGAGTCCATCAAGAAGGACGGCAGCGAGGGCGCGAACTGGCGCGAAAAATCGGACTGGAGAAGCAAGAAAACCGAAAATCACGAAAGCACCAATGGCGACGCGAAACTTCCCGACCTCGTTCCTGGCATTGAGGATCTCCCGCTGCCGTCCGTCGAGAAGGACCCTGCCTCGAACTTGCGCAAGACCGTGGGACCGCCCAAAAGCTTTGCGCCAAAGGCTCAGTCGCCAGACAAGGTCTTCACCTGGCAGATTGACGACGACTTCACGGCTGGCGACATCCAAGTGTCCGACAGTCCGAGGCTCAAGGCGACCGCCAACCGGCCCTTCGCGGATCGCCTAAAGTTTGACGAGAACAGCGAGGTGGATATTCATTCAAAAACTCGCGTCAACAACCCAGGATCCCAGAACACAAGACTCGACGAGATTCGCTCTAGGGAGGTCAAGGCTGGCAACAACATCCCGCTCGAGCGACCAGCCGACCAGCAGAACACAAAGCTCGACGACATCAAAGCACGCGAGGCCGATGCCGAGGCAAAGATACCTATACCAACCCGGCACTTATCCTCGCTTCCAACCAACACCAAGCTCGACGACATTCGGCAACGGGAAACAGCAGGCTTGTCTAAGCGGCAGCTCGCGTCTGCCCGACTGGAAGAGATTAGGGAGAAGAATGCAGCATCGCGGTCCAAATCACCCGAAGAGATCCAGCCGGTCGTTAAGGGACATCGGCCTAGTCCGTCTCTCACGCAGAAGCCCATTTGGTACCGACCAGGCGGCGGCGCCGTGGCTGCCGTGCCGGACACCCCTCCGTCGACCTACAAGACGCGCCGCGAGAGAATGGCTGAGGAGCGGGCAGCGAGCGCTGCTAGCGGCGAGAGCCCTAATACGTCTCCGTCCGACAAGGCAGCCGAAGAGCCGCAACCCACGAGTCCACGCCCTACGTTGTCGCACCGTCGCGCGGATTCGAAAGATCTGCTGCGGCAGGTCATCCGGGGCTCGAGCGAGAGTCCCGCGTCCGATTCACAGGCCGCCAAAAAGGTTGGACGGAAGAGCGACAAAACATCCGGCGAGGGCTCACCTGCCCGAGGCTCGCCCCGAAGAGCAGCAACCACGACCAGCGCTGCCGCCCGCCGACGCGCGACCACTAAGAATGGTGCAAGGCCCAGTACGGGAATTGCCGGACTGAGGAGGATCATGTCCTCAGAATCATCATCGGGGAGTAAGAGATCCAGTGTACATTCTGAGACAGATCCGACTGATCGCATCGAAGGGGAGATGAGTCTTTTTGCACCCAGGGACGACTATTCGGAACGAGGCTCGGTGCGGGCAGCCTCGCCATTCTCAGAGCCTAAGCGGTCGGAGGATGTGGACTCGACGCCCAAGCCCGTGAAGCATCAGGATGTGCTCAGCATGCCCACGCCCAAGGTGTCCGGAGCCTACGTCGAGACCCCAGCGACGATCAGGAAGCTTGACTTTGGGGCGAAACTGGACGAACAGGATGACGCCAAATCCACCAGCAGTGAGCCGCTGAGAGCGCGGGACAGCGATACGGCATCTGATCTAGGCGGAGATGAGAAGCGCCGCCGAAGCCGATCCACATCATCTTCGAGACCACCCCGTGCGCGATCTCTGCCGCGGAACAAGCGATCGCTCAAGAACACGGCAGTTCTTCCCTCCGTCAAAGCAGACCTCGCTGAGATCAAGAGCATGTTCAACCTCGAAGATTCCACCCTGGACGACTTTGAAGAGGTTCTTGCTGGCACCAAGACAGCCTCACCCGAAATCAAGGACCTACTTGCGAAGCTTCCAGAGAAAGCCCCCGTCAACGACAGCTTCGACGTCGAGCTCGACGCTATGAAGGACCACGACGGCAAGATCAAACGCAGGATGAGCGATCCGTCCCCCCAAAAGCCCGACCGCATCTCCAAAACAGTCGTCAAGCAGGAGGAAGATGACAACACCCTCACCCTGACGGAGCGCATGGTCGGCAAGCTTGGGCGGTCCTTGGCAGGTGTAAGGACATCCCAGCAAGGCATTGGCCGTCTGGCCGATGGCTTTTCCAAGACTTCGGCCAACAGGCCCTCTGCGGCCGTCAAGGGAACAACAGAACCTGTCACAGAGAAGGTCTATATCCATGTCAAAGATAAAGACGCCGCCGGTTACCTCCATATTCCCATTCCCAGGCTCTACACCACGCAACCCGGACTTCGCCTAACACCCCTCGGCATCCTGACAATAGTCTTCGGGCTGTGGTACCTGTTTGAGAGCATCATGTGCGGCCTGTACTGCCAGCCGACGAGCTGCTCCTCAGCGACGCCGTGCAAGTGGTCGCACGATGATCCGACCTTTGGCCAGGCCATCCCCGTCAAGCTCGACCAGTGGGCGACGGGTGGTGCGGGTCGCTCCGCTCTCAACGCTGCCGGCCGGGACCTCGCAGACGCCATCCTCGACATCACCGATTCCCTGCAGGGCACCGACATTCGTGACGTCGACGTGCAGTCGCTGACCTTTGAGGGCCGCAGGAGGCACCGACGACGCATGATGAAGAAAGGCTACCTGAAGCGGGACGAGGACGTCGACTGGGAGACGAGGAGGAAGTGGGATGCCTGGCACCGCGCCAGGATGGAGAAGGAGAGTCGCGCCGCGACTGGCGAGGCCGAGGTGAAGAGCGTCGGGGAAGATATGCGAATTTTCTAGAGTTGATATGAGTATGATGATGTATAATGGCTAACGGGACACATGTTTCGTATCACGCACGTTTACATAGGTGCATGTGTGAACACTAATAAATGGGGGAGGTATTATCAAGCATACCACATCTGTTATTGAGCATACACGTTGGAGTTAAGTGTGGCAAACGCTGTAGCGTAAAGGTTCCCTGCCCCGTAGCTAAATTTATTACTATCTAGTTAGTATTCGTAGGCTATGATTACTTAGTATCTTTATTAATTCATGTATTTTAGACGCCGCGATAAGGTATAAGTAGCCGAATCACGCTCTAGCCGCATAACGCTATAAGGTTGGCGATAGCCTTAAAAGTTCAAGCTACGATATAGTAGATTGACGGCTGAACGAGGGCTACCGTATCTCACGCCACTTGGTCACGCTGGGTATGCTCAATAACAGATGTGGTATGCTTGACAATACCTCCCTAGATTAGTGATGAGTATTATTAGTATTACGTATGTTCGTTCATGTCTATTCTTGTATAAACTCTGGTATCATCCACATGGTGTTCATAAAATCAACTCCAACCCAGGCGCACGTTTACTTGCTCTTGCAGTTATCATCCACGACGCAGATCTTGACGCTGACGGCAATGGCAATGACCGCGATGATGAGGAAGATGACGAGCATGAGCCACCAGAAGAGCTTGCGGCGGTTGCGGGCGTGCTTGATGCCGACCTCGACCTGGCCGGTGCCCTTTTCGAGATTCTCCACGGTGCCGACGGCGTTGGCCTCGGCGGCCTGGACGTGCACGTCCTGCTGCTCGACGACGGTCGCCAGGTCCTGGTAGATAGCGGCCAGCTCGATGAGGGTCTGTTCGATGCGCTGGAGCTCGCCGTGGCGGGCGCGGACGTTGCCGAGGACGGAGCTTGCCTGGCCAGTGCGGTTGGTGCGGAGCTATACATATGTCAGTATCCTACAACACGATAAAAGAAGAGGAGGAGAGAGTCGTACCGCCGCCTGGAAGACGCCCTCATTGCCCCAGTCGGCCTCGGTGGCCTGCTGGACCTCGTGCTCGTCGGCGTCGGGGTTGATGATCCTGTACTGGCGCGCAATCTGCTCGCGGTAGCGCGCGCGGTAGTCGCTCTCGAGGCTGCGAAAGGTGTCGAGCTCCCTGCGGAATGAGGACCGCAGGGTGTCGAGCTGGGTGGTCTTGACGCCGCGCGCGCCGCCGGTTGTGCGCGCCAGGTCGTGCTCGAGCGCCTTGATGCCGTCCTTGATGCTGGCGACGCGGAGCTGCGTCTGTGCGAGGAGCTGGTCGAGCTGCTGGCCGTGCTGGTCGTGGCCGCTGGCGCTGTTGAGGACGCGCTGGTGCAGCTGGCTGATGGTGGTGAGGTCGCTGGTGAAGGAGTCGATCTGGTTGCGCAGGTCTTGCACGCGGTGGAGGAAGTCTTGTTGGCTCAGGACGGCAGAGGGATCGCTGTTGTTGTTGTAGCTTTGCATTTCGTAGTTTTCATGGGCGTAGTTGTCATGTTGGCCGTACTGTTGTTGTTGGTCCTGAGCGTAAGGGTTCTGCTCCCCGTATGGGTTCGACATGTTGATCTCTGCCCGTTCGTGGGAGTGCTTGGGGATGATTGGTCTCCAGATGATTTCCTCCTCGTGGATTGGGCTGGTGTGTAACCTGGTAAAGAGAGAAAGCGACCGGTGGTGTTATTTAAAACTGGAAGACAGGTACGCGACAAGAGGCTCCATGTCTTTTAGATGAGCTAGGCATTGTTAGATCCGGTCATCCAGGGTCCAGCGGCCCAGCGCGCAGGACACTACGCCTACCTTGGTCGTGTTTGTGGCGGTTCCTGTACCCTGCCCCTTTATCGTCAGCCGTAGCTAGACTAGACTACCGTACTCACTCGGCAAAGTCGCTAGCGCTGGTCTGTCCTAGCGAGCAATAACCCTGTCAGGAGTGGTGCCAATATCGAGTAGCAATTACAGCCTATGAGCGTTATAATGGCTGAGGATTGTATAGAGTTATTGAGAGATTCGTACTTTCGCATAAGCATATATCCACAGCGCTAAGCCATAGGCGGCTAGATTCTACCCATCAGCGCTGGCGACTTTGTAGTGATTATTTTTGGAGAGACATACAACTAATATCTGGCTGCGCTGGGCATCATCAGTCTAGCCGTTGACATGGTGGCGCAGCAGGTCTTCGCATTCACCATCAGTTACCATCCACTCACTGGGCACTGGCGAGGGCGAAGCTGTGCTGACGGGCAGCTGGGAGAACTTTTGACTTTTCGCGGGCTTGGATCGAGTTCCCGTCAGGTACTTACGGAGTAGGTAAGGTAGGTATCGCGCACTCAGACTTGAGAGACATCGTCCTCACGCATAGGTCGCTCCAGTCTGTACGTAGGGCATCACCTGGTTCTGGGGTAGCTTGACCATACGTCATACCAATCAATGAGTGAAACAAGAATCAAAAGAGCAAAAAGGAAACCGCTGAGCGGCTGGCGGATCTCTCCCGCCGGGAATTGAACCCGGGTCTCAAGCGTGACAAGCTTGCATACTGACCACTATACTACGGAAGATGTTCGACTGTTGGCAGTCGTCGTAGTGAGATCACGTGAAGATTTGTCTGAGACCCAGCCTTATAAATATATGACCAAAAAATTCATCCTCGCACTTCCTTTTCGCCACCGACGCAGCCGCGCTCGGCGCCTGGCAAGTCGGTCGGAGAGCCGCACGGCGCGCTGACTCTCTTGGCGCACCCGGATGGCCAACCATATCGGACGTTCCGTCTGCCTAGCGGGTCGCACCGGAGTCGCGCTGCGGCCAGCGTTGCAAGTGAAGCTGCCGAGTCAGGGGGCATCCGCAGAGAGCCTTTATTGCCTCAAGCAAGGGATTGGTCCCGTTGACCGTCCAGCGGGTCGGATGACGATGCCACTGATTGAATCTGCCAGTGGTCTGACGGCTGGTGGGGCCCGCCACTTTCGAAACTAGGTAAGGATTTTGTTAAAGCGCGACGTCGTTCAAGGACCATCGGAAAGGGAAGGATAAGAAAGAGATTATGTATATGTAGTAGCATGTGGTGAGGCCGACAGATGCACTTCGATGCCCCCTCGTCCTGATGCAACTTTCCTCTCACCTTTCCCTCTGCGTACCTCGTAGACAACAATCCTCTCTCTCTGTTGCCGTGGCCTCGCCTATCCTCCTCATCCACCATGGCAGTCAATTCACCCATTTTCCTGAGGATCCCTCCAGAGATCCGCATGATGATATACGAGCATCTTTTGGCGACCAACGAGCACAATGCAATTGCCATCCGCAATTTTCCTGAGGACAAAAAGGGCGACTATGTGAAGCAGAAATGCAGAACCAAATACAACATTGTCGACCGGACATTCGCCCGTCGCTCATACCAGACCACCTACTATCGGGCATCAAAGGCCGAGCTGGCGCCAGCCATTCTCGCCGTGAACCGCCAGATCAGAGAAGAGGCCTCGTGCTACCTGTACGGGAAGAACATGTTCACATTCGGACATGATCTCGAGGCTCTTGTGCCATTCATGGAGGATCGCACCACATCGACTCGGGAGCTTGTCAGGGAGATCTCGCTGCAAAAGAAGGCCTGCGGCGGCGGCGACGTGGAAGCCGACTCGTACGCCTGGACGGGCGTTTGCCGCTACATGAAGAGCATGGACAGTCTCAAGAAACTTCGCGTCGTCGTTCAGGCGGGGCTGCCCACCGCCGAATGGGAGGGACCTCGGCAGCTGAGCGTCTCTGACTTGAGGTTGTTGTATGCAACCAAGCATCAGAGTCTAGAATGGGTCAGAGAATTGGCGCAGATCGGTGACGTCGAGTCAGTCGAGATCGTGGCAGACATGTCGCCCACGGCGAAGCCCGACGACAGCGCGTCCCTCATCTCGGCTGCGTTTTCCAATTCAATCGAGACGTCTCTGATTGAGTTTATGAGGGCAGACTTGGGGGTGCCTGCGGTGAGCCCCGCAATGGAAGCAGCCTGAGTTGCAGCTTGGAGCTCAGGGTTGGTTTTGTGTCTTCTTGTTTCCTGAGCGCTGGTGTTTGGTGTTTTAGGGTAGGCGGGACATTTTCTGCACTGGATAGACATTCTGCTTGAGCTAGACATTAGATTCTGGGTACCTTACTATAGACTTATGAGACATGTTTCGATGACTTGAACATGTGCATTCAATTTAGAGTTCAGGGTTCATTGACTTTTAATGCTGCCTGCAATGGCCGTCGTCGTCGTCACAAGCATTGAGTGACCCCCAGTCCACGTCGCTCGCTGCCAGTGGCCGCGTGGGCTGCCTTTTGATAGGTGCCTTGCCTGAGCACCGCCCCATACCTTACTTCGATAAGCCGGGCCTGGGCCAGAGCGTCACCACCAACCACCAACGTCAACAGCTGCGAACCGCCCTGGGGTACAGACACCTCTCGAAGCATCGCACCGCGGCAGGACGTCCTCGATCCACACATTGTCGCATACCAGTAGACGACCACCTCTCCGTCGCTCAATCTCTCCATTGAGCTGCTGGCTTTTCTCCCCTTCCTCCAGCCCAGACCGCGAGCCACCCCGCTGCCGACTGCCTGACTGCTCCAACCACCCCGAGCTCCATCCACGATGGCAGCAGCGCCACCGCCGGACCAAGACCAGGCGCGTCTGCTGGAAGATGCCCTGGTGGCTGTCCGGCAGCAGACATCCATGATGCGCAAATGCCTGGACACGCCTGGAAAGCTCATGGATGCGCTCAAGTGCTGGTGAGTTGGGACAGCTCTTTCTGCCTGCCTGCCCTCCAGGCGGCGCAATGGACCGTAGCTAACAGCCTCAGTTCCACCCTCGTCTCCGAGCTTCGAACGAGCAGCCTGAGCCCCAAGCAGTACTACGAGCTCTACATGGCCATATTCGACGCCCTGCGCTATCTGTCCGTCCACCTCCGCGAGAACCACCCCGTTAACCACCTCGCCGACCTCTACGAGCTTGTCCAATATGCAGGCAACATCATCCCTCGACTATACCTCATGATCACCGTGGGGACTGCCTACATGTCGGTGGAGGACGCGCCCGTCAAGGAGCTCATGAAGGACATGATGGACATGAGCCGTGGCGTGCAACACCCCATCAGGGGCCTGTTCTTGCGCTACTATCTGTCTGGCCAGGCTAGAGACTACCTTCCGGACGGCGAGGGCGATGGCCCCGAGGGCAACTTGAGCGACTCGATCAATTTCGTCCTGACAAATTTCGTGGAGATGAACAAGCTGTGGGTCCGCTTACAGCACCAGGGCCACTCGCGGGAACGCGAGGTCAGGCTGCGGGAGCGCAAGGAGCTGCAGCTCCTGGTAGGAAGCAACGTCGAGCGCCTGAGCCAGTTGGTGGACCTGGAGACGTACAAGACCGGGATCCTGGGGCCGCTTCTTGAGCAGGTGGTCCAGTGCCGAGATGTCCTTGCACAGGAGTACCTCTTGGAGGTCATCACCAAGGTCTTCCCCGACGAGTTCCACCTTCATACCCTGGATCGCTTCCTGGGGGCCGTCTCCCGTCTGAACCCGCATGTCAATGTCAAGGCTATCGTCATTGGGTTGATGGATCGCTTGTCCGAGTTTGCTGAGCGCGAAAGCACCAACAACGGCGGCGATGATAGAGCCAAGACCGAGTCGGATGCGTTGGCCGCCCTGTTGGAGAAGGTCAAGCTCGCAAAAGAGGCGCCCCCCAAGCCTCAGGGGACCGAGGAGGACAGCAAGGGCAAGCAACCAGCAACTGCGTCAGCGGAAGCCAACGGCGAGTCGGCGGATGACGAGGCAACAGCCGAGGAACCCAAGGAAGGCCAGGAAGCCGACGAATCCGCGCAGTCTACCACTGCAACGGAGACGGACGCGACGACTCTCAACGGAGCTGAGGCACCAGCTGATGAGAGCCCAGCCAACGTCCAGTTGTATGAGGTCTTCTTTGCGCAAGTCAAGAACCTTGTCGAGGCGCAGCACCTCCCTATCCAGGACGTCATTGCGCTGCTCGTCTCGCTCTGCAATCTGGCTCTCAACATCTATCCCGAGCGCCTCGACTACGTCAACCAAATCCTCGAGTACGCCACCGTCAAAACGCGCGAGCACATGAACAATGCAGACTTGCACTCTGCGCCCGCCCAGCAAAGCCTGCTGGCTCTTTTGCAAGCGCCTCTGACCCGTTATGTTTCCATCTTCACCGCCCTGTCATTACCGACCTACGTGCCTCTTTTCCAAGCGCAGACATACCCCACCAGACGAGCTGTGGCCGGTGGCGTGGCGCGTGCCCTGCTCAAGAACCAGACCAAGATCGAGACGACCGAGCAGTTGGAGAATGTGCTCGAGGTGCTGGCCGTGCTGATCAAGGAGGGCAACCAGCCACCACAAGGGGCATACCCTGCCGCGCAACGGAGGACCGCTGAGACCGACGAGACCATTGAGGAGCAAGGCTGGCTAGCGCGCATCATCCACCTGCTTCAGGCATCCCACAACGACACCCAGTTCAAGCTACTGCATATGACGCGCAAGGCGTATGGTGAAGGCGGCGAGCGCATCCGCACCACAACACCCCCACTGGTGACGGCATCCCTCAGGCTTGCGCGCAAGTTCAAGCTGCGCGAGCACTACGAAGATAACTGGGAGACACAGAGCAATGCACTGTACAAGTTCATTCACTCGTCGGTGAGCACCCTGTACACTCGCGTCAATGGCGCGGGTGCAGCTGAGATGGCTCTGCGACTATTCTGCGCTGCCGGCCAAACGGCCGACTTGGCAGGCTTCGAGGAGGTGGCCTATGAGTTCTTTGCGCAGGCCTTCACTGTGTACGAGGAGGCCGTGTCGGATTCCAAGGCCCAGTTCCAGGCCGTATGCGTGATTGCCACCGCCTTGCACCAGACACGCAACTTTGGACGCGAAAACTACGACACACTCATCACCAAGTGCGCCCAGCACGGCAGTAAGCTCTTGCGCAAGCCGGACCAGTGCCGTGCCGTCTACCTCGCCAGTCACCTGTGGTGGGCGACACCTATTGCGTCGAGGGGAGAGACTGAAGACACGGAGGTGAGTTTCCACAACACTACAAAACGCGCAGTTTTGATGCTAACACATGATAGCTCTACCGTGATGGCAAGCGCGTGCTCGAGTGCCTCCAACGAGCCCTCCGCGTCGCTGACTCTTGCATGGAGACAGCCACCAGCATCGAGCTTTTCGTGGAGATTCTCGACCGCTACGTCTACTACTTTGACCAACAGAACGAATCGGTGACGACAAAGTACCTCAACGGCCTCATCGAGCTGATCCACTCCAACCTCAACGGCAATCAGCAAGAGTCGGCATCCATCGAGCAGAGCAGGAAGCACTTTCACAAGACATTGGAGAACATTCAGAGCAGGCAGTACGAGGGTGTGGTGTTGTATCCTAGTTAATTGCGTTGTGGGGGTCGGGTCGTCTGTCTAGACTTGTCTGTAAATATGTATACCCGTTCGCTAAGCATGCCACACGCAAGGAATCCTGTCCCTTCTCGTTGAAACCAATGCGCCACTAGACTAAGACGTCAGTTGTGTCGCCCGACTGGGCCGATTTCAAACCTACATCTGATAAAACAGGCAAAAGTCGAACAAATAAAAATATTGCTTTGATGGTGTTTCTTTCTCCTTTCAAGACTGCGTCCTTCAGGGGCAAAGTCAACACATGGAAAACGCGACGCACTTTCCACGTTCAACGGCAGCCCTCTCACACTCATCGCTTGCCTGCAAATCCCAATGGCCGTGCTTGTGCTGGATAAAAAAAGGGGAGGTGTGATATTGACGAAATTGATTAGTTTAGACAAGCAAAAAGCAAAAGATTGGACGGTGAGGGATTTGAACCCCCGACCACCCGCAGAACAGTGAATGTCCGAAGACATGCAAAGCGGGGATGATAGCCACTACACCAACCGCCCAATGGCGTTGGAGATGGCAAAGCGTTTGGCTCTTATACAGGTGAGCGGTTTCTTGACTTCTTCATCCCTGTACTGTCGGCGATGTAAAAGAGGAATCAGAAAGACTTTCGCAAGGCTGCGTAGAATCTCTCTCAAACTGAACTGTTTCTCGATGAAATTGTATTCCAAAATCAACGCGTCTGAACTTATACCCGTCGAGACAGCTGTCACTGGCAGTCATCACGGTGGGGTAATGCGATGCATTGTTCCCGCCGGAGGATTACAAGCTGCGACCTCGAGCTCCGTCCCCGCCGCTACATCCTTTGTGACACCTACAAGCCCTTGAGCGTTTTGCGAGAAGCTGGAAGCAAAGGTCGAGACATTCGATTGCGAGGAAAAGCTTACCGCCATGGACCACGTCCAAGAGAAAATGGCCGAACACGCCTCCCGTGAGCCCGCACCGTACGTCTGACCATGCTCAGCCGAGACACCAGAGATCTAACAAATCGACAGCGCCACCTTCTTCACGCCTCTGAACTTCCTCTTCCTCGCCGCCATTCTCTACACGCTCTACCTCACCTTCCGCGCACCAACACCTGCGACGCTGCCTCGACCCCCGCCTCCCGTCGTCTTCAAGACCTACACACCGCGCACGCTACTACCCTTCTCAGGCAACGACGGCGGACCTGTTTACTTTGCCGTGCGTGGCAAGGTCTTTGACGTCTCGCGCGGTCGCAATTTCTACGGCCCAGGTGGCCCGTACTCCAACTTTGCTGGACGAGACGCGAGCAGGGGACTGGCATGCGGCAGCTTTGATGAGGAGATGCTGACCAAGGACCTCGATGGACCGCTTGACACTCTGTCAGATCTGGGAAGGGACGAAATGGAAGCGTTGCAGGGATGGGAGGAGAGATTCAACGAGAAGTACGATGTGGTAGGCCGCCTGGTCAGTGTAGAGGAGTTCAACCAGGGCAAGGCTTGATATACTGTATAGAACGAAACGCCTTCGGGTGGTCTCCCATTTCATTTAGACAATATTCATATCGACGATGTCTGTGTCGAATACTTTGCATAGAGCAACTTGGCTGGGTTATAGAGCTCGCTCGAAGTCCGAACCGAAGAGGGAACACGAACGGTGAACTAAACTTGGTAAGGAATAGAGGTAAAGTCACACAACTGTCGGAAATCTGAGCAGTGCTATAATTGTCGTCGCTAATGGGACGAAAACAATAAATGGTAGACTTGACCATGGGAAGTCAGTCATCGCGTGGCCTGATATTAATGCGTAGGGTAGCCCGAGCGGCGTGGCGGACTTGGGAAATACGCCAAGCCTAGCTCAGGGTCTCTGTCCAGTTGAACATCCGTATGCGTACATCGAACTTACGTGGACTCCGACTCGCTCCCAACTCCCTCCACCGTCGACTTTCCAACCCGTAACCTTATTCTCTGCCTTGTTTGCAACGCTGTACCATGCTTAGTTCTGGTGTTTCTGCGTGATTCGACTTTCCTTCGCTCCGACGCTCATTTCCAGATCCGACACGGCATTCACCCACCCATCATCCCCTGGTGCTGCGCATGGCCACCCCTTACCTTCGAGTCCCTCACCAATAGACGACCGCCACCATGGCGCCCTCCGAGAAGCAGCCCTTCTACGATCCCGTACCTCCCACATACGAGCAGTCTCTCGCAGTACGTGGAAGGCAGTATGACGATGCAGACGCGCAGGACAACGAACATGAGTCGCAAGGCCTGCTGCGCTCCGGCGCGCCAAGCTCCTCGCGGAGACCGGATGGATACCGCGCCCCGACAGTGGAATCAGAAGACGAAAGCGACGACATCGACGGCATGCTCGAGAGCGACACCGACGATGAAGACGAGGCTGCGCAGGTGCGACGCGAGATGCAGGAGATGGACATTGAAGAGCCATCCTCCTCGCGAGGCTCAATATGGGGCAAGCGGATAGGCCTCTCGCTACCCAAATGGAAATGGAGTTGGAGGCCGCGGTTGCCAAGTCTACCGCGCATACGCATACAGCTACCCCAGCGACCCGACTCTGACGGCGATAATGGCTCGGGAGAGGCGGAAGCGCAGGAGGAGAACGTGACCACGAGGCCAGGGTGGCGATGGAAGATGCCCGAGGTCAACGGCATGATGGCAATCATTATTTTTGCGCGGCTGTTGGCTGCTTTCATCGTCCTTGGCTTTGTGTACCTGCTCTTCGCCAGCGACATATTTGGTTCGTTGAACGGACCCATGGGCGGTGGGTTCCGTTTCAACCCTGAGGACTTGAAAGTACATGTCCTCAACAGCGTGGATCCGATGCGACTACGCGCCTCAGTGAAGCACTACGCAAGCTACGCGCACATTGCGGGCTCAGAGGGCGACTTCGCGACAGCGATGGATATGGAGAGCATGTTTAGCAGGGCCGCGCTGGACGAGGTCAGGCTGGACGAATACGTGGCGTATTTGAATTACCCCAAGGAGAATGGGCGAGCGGTACAGATCATGGAAGGGGACAAGGCCGTCTGGACAGCACAGTTGGACGAAACAGAGCGTCAGAAGGAGACGGCTGGGCGTCAAACATACGTCTTTCATGGACTGTCCAAGGCGGGAGACGTCAGGGGTCCATTGATTTACGCCAACCGCGGAACGAGAGAGGATTTTAAGATGCTGACTGACAAGGGTGTCAAAGTCGAGGGCGCCATTGCGTTGGTCCGATATGATGAGCCACAGCACGCTGGACTCAAAGTCAAGGCTGCTGAGTTGGCGGGTTTCGCTGGGTGCATCATTTACAGCGACCCAGCGGACTTTGACGGCGACGATGCGCCCAATGGGCGATCTATACCGAAAGACGGCGTTCAGCGTGCATCCGTCGCCTTGCAGGGCTGGGCCGTTGGCGATGCCCTGACACCGTCCTGGGGCAGCAGAAAGGGTCTTCCAAGGATGAAAGTCAAGGATGCTCCCGGTCTGGTCAATATTCCCAGCTTGCCACTTTCCTGGGGTGATGCGCAGGTCCTCCTCCAGAAATTGAAGGGCCACGGCGACAAGGTTCCCGAGTCATGGGAAGGCAAGGTGCCCGAGGTGGATGAATACTGGACAGGCGACGACAAGTCGCCCATCGTCCGCCTCAAGAACGAGCAGGACGAAGAGGAAAAGAAGACGATCTGGAACGTGAAGGGCAAGATTATTGGAATGGAACAATCAGCCAAGTCCATCATCATTGGTAACCAGCGCGACTCATTAGCCTTTGGCGCGGCAGACCCTCACTCGGGCACTGCAATCATGGTCGAGATGGCCAGGATCTTTGGTGATCTGATCCTGCGCGGATGGCGACCCCTGAGATCCATCGAGTTCATGTCCTGGGATGGCGGAGACTACAATCTCGTTGGCTCCACCGAGTTTGTGGAGGCGAACATCGAGTCGGTACGCGAGGATGCTTACGCCTACATCAACCTTGACAATGTTGTCGCTGGCCGCGATCTGCAAGCCATTGGCTCGCCTGTCTTTGAGAAGACGCTGCTCCACGCGCTGGCCAGAATCGAGGATCCTAACATGAATGTCACCCTGAAGAATCTCTGGGACGAACAGGCGTCTCAACACATCGAGGCGCCTGGTCTCGGTGGCGGCTTTGTTCCTTTTCAGCACATTGCGGGCACTTCGTCTTTAGATCTCCAATTCCGTGGCGATCACTTCCCTAGGTTCTCCAGCTACGACGACTTTGAACTCGTCGAGAAGACCATCGACCCTGGATTCGTCTACCACGGACTCATGGGCCAGATTGTCGGACTTCTCATCCTCGATCTCGCTGACAAGGCGATCATGCCTTTTGACATGGTTGCCTACGGCAACGCTCTCTCGAGCGGACTCGAGGAACTGCAGACCTTCGCTGAGCAACATGGCGCCGACACTCGAGTGTCATTCGAAGATCTCTCCAAGGCCATCAAGGCGGTGCAAGTATCCACCACGGCGTTCGCGAGCTGGGAGAACACGTGGGACCACGAGGTCATGCACACCGCTGGCTGGGAGAGCACCGAGATGGGCGAGCAGAGGGTGCGATACAACAACAAGATGGGCAGCTTTGATACCATGCTATTGGACTTGGATAAGATGGGAGGCGTGAGTACTTTTCCACTTCTTACGCAGACTCGTTCTAACAGCCTCCAGATTCCCAACCGCACACAATACAAACATGTCATTTTTGGCCCGCAGCTCTGGTCTCCAGACGAAGAGGCGCATTTTCCCGCGATCCGAGACCTCATCGAGGCCGAAGACTGGGAGGGCGCCAAGACTTTCATTCAAAAGACAGCAAAGATCCTCCGGCAAGCTGCCAAGTCGCTATATATGGGCGACGAGGAGGAGGTGGAGGGAGATCGATAAGAAACACACGATAGGCAATAATTGCCTGAGGACCAAGAGATGCGCGTGTATACACATGCCACAACGGCAACACCTTTTTTTTTCCCTCACTGATTTGTAGGACGGAATCTTGTGTACGAAACGAGACTGGCATTGCGTGGGAGTTTATGGGTTTGAAATCTTTTTGGTATGAACTGTATATTGGAAAGGAATCGAACATGATTCTCATCTTAACACATCCGGGTCATTGAAGTGACATTGAACTCGCCTGTCGGCGTATTATTCATCGCCCACTCTGATCTATCCAGGTGAAAACTCCATATACATGATAACAGTACACGCCTTGACGGCGAACATAACATAACCCCTTTCTAGTAGAGCGGTGTTTCCCCCCCCCCCCGTTGATCAACCATGCTTTGCTGTGGTTATAAAAGAAACAGATGCTGCTCCCTCTTGATGCTTCCCATCGCCGTATTTTGGAACATATAGTACAATATCGACACACCCATTCCCTGTTGCGCCTTGACCCGACTTTCCAGTCGTGGCCTCGAGGCGATTAGTACCAGTCCCTGCCGCTCTTCTGCATCTCAATCAACCGCCATCCTCGCGTCTCGGGGTTGTTGACATCCTCTGGCACGCGAGTGATACCGATCGCGTATGTCACCAGCTGGACCTTGTCCTCCATGCCCGCCGCGAGCTCGCCGGTCTTGGCGTTGCGGTAGACGTGCACCTCCTGTGTGCGGCATGTGATGATGAACACGGGCACATCACCAGGGTCGAGGATGCGGGCGCGGAGAATGTCTACGTTGCGGATGTCGAGGATACGCCCGTCCGACTTCATGCCGGCCTGGAGGTACTGCTTTGTAAGCGCCTCGTAGACCGAGTACTGCGCGGCGGATAACCACAGCTTCAGGGTCTCCGTGTCGCCCTTGACGTAGGCGTCCAACACTTCGGGAAGAATGTACTCGCGAAGCTCTTGCAAGAAGGGCTCGGTCTGGAAGTTGGGGTCCATGGTACGGAACTGCTTGATGACCTGCGCGGTCTCATTCTCGGCGAAGAATCCACCGATGCGATCGGTAATGCTGCGCGCGGTAGAGATGAGAGGGTTCTCAGATTCTTCGTACTTGGAGCGCATGCTGGAAAAGCTCTGAGCGAACTTGCTTTGGTCACGGAAATCGCGCCACGCTTCCTTCCAGGCCGCGTCCTTGTGGAGCGTCACGTTGGTGCCAGCACTGTGTGGGTTAGATGTGTTCTCGAGAGCTCACGGTAGGAGCAAGACTTACTCAGGATCCTCGACCATGACCTTGCCATACGCGCCGCGCTGCTTCTGGAGAGCCTCGCGCCTCTTGCGGCGCTCCTCCTTCTCAACCCAGCCACCATAGCGCGATGAGCTTCCATCGTCAATGACGTTCTTGACGTTACGGTACGCTTCAGTCTCGCGGATGGGCTTGGTGGCCTTGTCGACGGCATCGCCAGTCACGTTGGCCGCCTTGCGCACACCCTTGACGACGTTGGTGTCCCATGTCCAAGCGGCACCCTTTCCAATCACACCGGCAGTGCCTTTGAGCGCGGCTGAGGCGGTGCTTGACATGGCACCAGTCGACTTCTCGTACGCCTCCCTTGCGCGACGGACAGACTCGGACTCGGAGAACTGGTGCGCCGCATCACCAAGCTGCTTCGTCGACTCGTTCCACTCTTTGGAGGCCTGGAACTCCGTGTTCATTGTCTCCATGAACACTTGCCAAGGGGTCTTGTCACCATGAGGAGGTGGTGGCGGCGCATCTTCCTTCTTCTTGTCCTTGCCTTCACCGTCTTCGCCCTCCTTCTTCTCGCCCTCTTCACCATCCTTCTTAGCCTCCTCGCCCTCCCCGGCGGCCTTTTTGGCCTCTTCCTCTGGCTTGGGCTCGGACTCTGGTGCCGACTTTTTCTCAGTGTCGGTAGGCTTCGGCTCGGCAGCAGGGGGCTTCTCCTGGTATCTCGAGGTGCTCGCGTGGAAAGCGCGTGCCGACGTCAATCGCAACTCAGCCGGTAGGAAGGGAGATCGAAGCGGCGATAGAGGAGCGGTGAAGGCAGGGCCATAGCGTATACTCGAGGCGTCGGATCGGGCAGACTGGCGTGGGAGAGTGGATGCTAACCTCCTGTAGGCGGGTGACCTGCCATGGGCTAGCTGTGAAGACGCTCTCGACAGAGCCGTCTCTGTGGACGCCGCATTCCGAACAAAGGCGTGCATAATGAGGTTTGGGCAAGAAAAAAGAAATCGCCCAGCCGACAAGGACGTGGACGGGGTTGTGGTGGATTGGAGACTGTCGAGTATGAGGGGATGGAAAAGTCCGGCTCAACGCGAAAGGAAATTTCGGTTTTGGCGCATCGAGCAGCTTCCACGCCCAGCCTGGCACAGCGCAAGGGACCGGGACCGGACTGCGACTACCCCCTGTCGGCTGAACCGCGGCTAATCACCTGCACGTCGAATCTCGGGAAAAAAGTCACGTCGGAGAGCAAGTCGCGACGTTTTACTGACTGACTGACTGACTGTCTTTGGTCAAGCCAGCTCCTCCCACAATGAGCCGATTGCTATATAGCCGCAGTGCGGCGCAGCCTCTATCTCGATGCTTCAACTCGCATCTGGCCACACGCTCTTTCACGACCTCTGCTGCCCAGCGCAAAGATGAGCAGCCGAAGCTCAGCAGTTTCCTCGAAGATCTCTACGGCAAGGCTCAGCCTGAAGAAAAGACCCAAGCACCCGAGACCAACTCTATGAGCTCTCTGACTGGGAGCTCCATCTTCAAGTCTTTTGACAGCAGCTCCGGCGGCAGTCGCATCGACGTCAATGCCCTCCTCAACGGCACAGCTACGCCAACCGGCCAGGGTCGCGACCTGCCCACCACCGAAACATTGGAGCCGTACCACTTCCATGTGTACGCACACAAGCACAACACACACGTCACCTGCACACGCCCGAACCGCGAACCCATAATATCAATGTCGTGCGGCAACCTCGGCTACCGCAAGAGCAGGAGGTCTACGTTTGACTCGGCATACTCCTTGACGAAGTATGTCATTGAACGGTTGATTCACAAGGGGATACCGCCCAAGATCCACAAGCTGGAGGTTGTGTTGCAAGGATTCGGTCAGGGGAGAGAGGGCGCATTGAAGGTATTGATGAGCCCAGAGGGGAAGATACTACGCGACAAGGTCGTCAGGGTGGCAGACTCTACCAAGCTCAAGTTTGGTGGTACGAGGAGTCCCAGGCCGAAGCGTCGTTAATATGTCTTGTTTGTACCATATTTGTACGAAACCGAACTGTAATATACAAAACCTCCCGTGGGAGAAAATCGCTATGGTCCCAACGCCTGCGGAAACGCTTGACTCGCAAGTCCCCTCCAAAAAAGGAAAAAAAAAAACGCCCTCAACATCACACAATGCCGAATCCCATATTGGTACTTATCTTGCAGGAGCTCGTTCAGACGCCGGCAGCATCCTCCCAGACGTGTCCCTTGAGATTCTTCTGCCGCCTGCTGCTTCTTCGTCACTTTCCCACCGATCGTCTCCCTGCTGCCCGCTATTTCTGACCAGCTGGGGCATTTCATCAGAGTTTCTGAGCATCCTACTACTCTCGTCTTCATCTCTGAGTAGTTCCCCGTCAGCCGTATCATACTCGGGTGGATCTATCCACTCTCTGGGGACCACGCAGGGGAACGCTACGCCGATAGATGCTGCGCGGTTCAACCATCCGGGCCCGGGTGTTCCTGTGAGCTTGTTGACAAGATAAGACGTGAAGTGGTTGCAGTTCTTCGTGAGCAAGTTGTAGGAGGTGCCTTGGAATTCTTCCGACGCAGTTCGGATCGCTGCCTCGATTTCCTCGTCCGACGCCAAGGTGAAGCCGTGAAGCAGCTCGCACTTGAATGTTCCGCCCGGTGGCTCTGTTTTTGGTTTCGTCCAATACACGCCTGTGACGCCAGGATGATCATGGCCACCAAAGGCATACTCTTTGCCATTGATCACGACGCCCGAGTGAAGGAGGGATGCCCCGACAGTCCAAAGCACGGACGACAGACGGCCAGCCTGCCCTAGGTCAGCAAGACATGGTATTAAGAGGAGTCAGGCCTTCGTACCGGAAGCAAATCGTACACATTGATTATAATTTCGGTCTTCTGCAGAGACAGCGTAGATCGGTGCCGGTTGGCTGATTGACGAGAGCTGCCTGAGCGCGACTGCCTGGGCATGGTGCTGTGTCTCTGCGTCCTAGTCTTTGTCTCAGGTCGGTTTGCAGTATTCGGTCGAGTGGCGGGGTTGGAAGAGGCCAGAGGAGGAATCGATGCGCGGAAGAAATGTGCAGGCTGATACTGAGTTGAAGCACTATCTATGGTGCCGGCAAAGATTCCAGATGATGCGCGGAGAGCAACGTCTTCTCGTCTGGTGTGGTCATGTCGTGTCTTCGCGACCAGACAGTGGACGTCGCAGCGGCCGTTCGTCAATTGGACCCGTTCTCGGCCAAGCGTGGCTGCGTGGGAGTGACCGCGCTAACGAGCTCGCATGCAGCAGGTGCACTGTGCACAGCGGAAAGCGTGGGGATACCGTAATATCTCAGAAAGGTCGAATAGGCTGGTGCGAGCTTTTGCCCCATTAGAATTGCGGAGGGCCCAATCAACACAATACCCTGGTCGTTAATTGACACAAAACGCTCGGACCAGCCTGTTCGATCTTTCTGAGATATTACGGTACTATTGAGCGAGTGACGTACCGGATGGATTGAGGGCTCCAGTCGGACTAATGTTCTTCCTGCCAAAGACAGAAACAACCGGAGGTGGGGAGCATCAAAATTCGTCGCATTTCTACGCCAGCTCTCACAATCTCTTATTTCTGTCCTCAAATCACTTTCAATTTTCTAGCCAGCTTCGTCCTTTGTCCGTGGGCGCGGCGCTGAAAAAAAGGAAAGCCATTGGCGACTGAGATAGTCGCCTTTGCAGGCACAACGGCCTCACTCCCTCTTCCCTCTTCCTTCGCTTCTACCTTCCGAACCTTTCCCCCCCGCGCAGCTAGGTCTGCAGCTCTTGGGCGCGCTCCTTTCCTCCTCCTCCTCACCACCACCTTTACACACACACCTTCTCGCTCCTACGCGAAAGCGAAGAAAGCAAAGATGCCTCCCAAGAAGCCCGTCGTCGAGGAGAAGATCCCTCTCGGCCGCCCTGGCAACAACCTGAAGAGTGGTATCGTTGGCCTCGCCAACGTCGGCAAGTCCACGCTCTTCCAGGCCATCACCAAGTCGAACCTCGGTAACCCTGCTGTATGAAGCCCCCTGCCTATCATCACCGAGCGCGCGGGTGCTGACAGCCGCAAAAGAACTTCCCCTACGCGACCATTGAGCCCGAGGAGGCCCGCGTTGTCGTGCCCGACGAGCGTTTCGACTACCTCGTCGACAAGTACAAGCCCAAGTCTGTGGTGCCCGCCAACTTGACCGTCTACGATATTGCCGGTCTGACCCGCGGTTCATCCACTGGTGCTGGTCTGGGCAACGCCTTCTTGTCACACATTCGCGCCGTCGATGCCATCTTCCAGGTTGTGCGCTGCTTTGACGATGCCGAGATCATCCACATTGAGGGCGATGTGAACCCCACCCGCGACTTGGACATTATCAGCACCGAACTGCGACTCAAGGACATTGAGTTCGTGGAGAAGGCGCTCGAGAACCAGAAGAAGAAGACCCGCATGGGTGGCCAGAGTCTGGAACAGAAGAAGGCCCGTCAAGAACAGGAGATTATCGAAAAGGTTCTCGCCTGGTTGAACGACGACAAGGATGTCCGCAAGGGCAACTGGGGTCCCAAGGAGGTAAGCGATTTTCACCTTTTTCTGTATTTGCAACCCCAGCTTCCGTGATGACAAAAGGCCCAAACGGCCTGAATCTAATCCCAGCTCTTCGAATGCCTCACCATATAACGCTAGAGTGCATACTGAGATAACATCCTCTCTGATCTTTGAAGCAACCCACACATCAGTTCTGTCATGTTTTGTCGCGTTCTTTACTGACAGTTTTACCAGATCGAGGTCATCAACCCTCTTTTCCTTCTGACGGCCAAGCCTGTGGTCTACCTCGTCAACTTGTCTGAGCGTGACTTCATCCGCAAGAAGAACAAGCACTTGCCCAAGATCGCCGAGTGGATCAAGGAGCACGCTGACGGCGACCCGATCATCCCTGTCTCCGTCGCCTTCGAGGAGCGCTTGACGCGCTATGAGACCGAAGACGAGGCCAAGGAGGAGATGAAGAACGTCGGCGCAGAGACCGTCATTCCCAAGCTGATCACACAGATGCGCAAAACTCTTCAACTCGGTAGCTTCTTCACAACTGGCCCCGATGAGGTGCGCCAGTGGACCATCCGCACCGGCACCAAGGCGCCGCAGGCGGCTGGTGTCATCCACACAGACTTTGAGAAGACCTTTATCCAGGCCGTTGTATACAACTTCAACGTGCTCAAGGAGTGTGGTGGCGATGAAGCCGAGGTCAAGGCCAAGGGTAAGATCATGACCAAGGGCAAGGAGTACGTTGTGGAAGACGGCGATATCATGCTGATCAAGGCTGGTGCCGCCAAGAGCTAGTCGTGGAAAATATTCCCAGATTAGTTAAGATGAAAAAGTAAAACCTTTAATGCTGCTTGTGCCCTGTCAACGTAGACGATTATTTGTGTTATTACACTGTCGACTACTACTCATGCTTCGTCAGATGCCATGTGTAGACACAACGCGCGCATGCTCTCTCTCGCATGGCCCACAGACATCTCTCCCGCCTGCCATGTCGTCAAACTTATGTTTTGTTCAGGGGTTGAACGTCCCCACTGGAGTCGGAGCCCGAGAGCTCTCTCTATAACGTCAAAAGAGTAGAGGCCTTTACTTATTGAATCCGAGGCAATTTCAAGGCAAAGTACTTGGGGAGTGATACTAAAACAGGAGTCCAAGACAGCCACCGAATCCCGTTTCCACAGCAACTCCGTTTTTTTCCCCAACCTTTTCCTCTACGTTATCAGGCTCCTCCGCGGCTCAGCCTACTTCGTCACGACTCACACCACCTGTCTTGTCTTCACTCGAGGTCGTTAACGGAAGCCGCGCAAAGATGGAGCAATTTTTACTCTCGGCCCAGCACTCTGGGACCATCAATCACGTCCATTCCTTCCACCTTCCGACTGCGGCTCCGTCCATCCTCAAGGAGATCAGAATCACAGTCGCCATTCTATCACTAGCATGGGTCACAGTTGAGGTGATCAGGAGGATCGGACCACGAAGCAAGAGCCAGGAATGAGCTCTCGCCTCATGTGCCTTTATGTAGAGCTTGCGCACGCTATTTAATCAACAAGTATGGACAAGTAAGGCAGCACTCTTTACCACGAGACAGATGGCTGACTGGAAGCAGCGCGAAGAGGAGAATCGACGAGAAGGTTTGGTGTTACATGGCGTCAAATTATTAAACAAATCTCACTCTACCGGTCCGTTCAAGTTAGCTGGCTATCTCTATGACGCGTCGCGAAGCTGGTCATGTATAGTATGTAGTGCTAACCGCTTAAGAAGGGCAGCCGGCCCAGTATCCAAGTATCGTCAGCAACCTCCCGCAGCAGCGGCACACTTGTGTCCAGTTCATTAGTCGGAGGCCTTGTCGCTTATCTCGCCAATGACATGTAAATGCTTCCATCGTGTGAGCCAGCCCTGTACTCACGCCCCTAGTCCTCGAACGTTACGTTGCTACCATACTGAGACCGGCCCAGCGCCGCCTCCCTCTTATAATACCCCCACAAATCAAATATGCTGCCTCCTGAACCGAAGCAGTACGTCATATACGGATGATTTACCATGTCATGGTCGTTCCAGCCGGTGCGCAGCCAGTACCCTACCTCGTTCCCGTTGTCATCGCTGCCGAGAGCCCTCCAAAACCGGCCGTATCGCTCGATGGAGTCATCGGCGCCCGCCTCGGGCTCCCACCGGAATGCGGCACCCTCGAGCTCTCCGTGCTTCTGCATGAGGGCTTTATGAGCCTCCAGGGTGACGGCGATAACGACCTGCTTGTCTGCGCCGAGGGAGCGTACCATGTCCTCGAGGGGATCCATCACGTTGCGCACCAACAGAGGCACTCTTTGGTCCACGGGAACGTCTCGCGAAGGCCATAGTTGGCTCTGCACATAAAGCTCCAGACGACGCACATTAGAAAAGAGGTTTGGCACCGTGGAACAAACCTGTGGGAAAGCACAGGCCTTCTCCTCCTTGTCGGTCCCCTTCCACAGGCCATGTACAAGAGGGTCTTTAGCAAATCGAGTGAGTCGAGGCTCTCCTAAAGCGAGCTGCACAGACTTGATCTTATCAACCCCATTAGGCGATATCAGGCGCCGCATATTGAGCAGCAGGGGAACACTCGAGAGATAGAACGTGTTCGTCGAGAATAGCACGTCCACGCCGTCACTGTATGCCCCACGGCAAGCGAGCAGCCACCCAATCACCCCGAGGAAACAGTCCTCCTGTCCTTGCCCTGGCCTGTCGCTTCCACCGCAGTCGCAGTACTCGCCCTCGAGGCACTTGTCTTCAAAGGGCCAAATTGTCGTCTCCAACTTGAAAAATGCGATCCTTGTCGGATTCTCCGTCTCGGCACTCCGGTGGCACACGCAGCTGAACCACTGCCACCGCTTTGGCAGCGTGTTATCCTCGACAAGTTGTTCGCCCAGTCCACAGTGCTTCTTTGACGCCCCTTGTGGCCCTGCCCCGGACACGGGCGCAGAGCGCCGTACCAGAGGGTGGCGCCAAGATAGGTCGATGTGCACCGTGCGTTCGCCAAAGGCGTAGGTGAGAATCTGCCGCCGGATTTCTGTCGGGAGGCGCGAAAATGCGCCGTATGTATCTGTTGACGGTGGCAGTGAGGTAGACTCTGGTACAACTTGGGCCGTTGGGGCGAGAAGAGGAAGAGGCTGGTTTGGTTCCGCGTCGACAACTTGGGGCTTCGTCTGAGACGGTTTGGGACGACGTCGCTTGAACCTTTTCGCGAACCTTTTGAGAGCTTTCATCTTGGCTAAATTGGCAATAGAAATGGATCTCCCGTTACAAGGTGCGGTCAGACGTCTATTCTTTCAATCAATGTGTGACTGAGTGAAAGACAAACGAGCCCCTGTCTACATGTACCCCAAGCGCGCACAGTGCGATCCTTGGGGTCATCAGCCGTCACTTGCAGCACTACGCACAGTACAGCGCGTTGAGATCAGAATTGGGAGCGCGGCACACGACAACATTAGGAACTAAGTGACTATCTTGGCTTACAACTATTTCTCACTCGTTCTTGAGGCATGATGACCAGCAACGCTTGGCAAATCAGCATGTAGGCCAGCTGTCCCGCAAAGATACAGGTAAGGTCACATGTAGAAGAAGCAACCAGTAACGGCAATTATATGAAAGGCAAAAGCCTGGGCTAAAAACAAAACAATGAAAACAGATAACTCGCTTCCTTCCAAGAGCTCCTTTACCAAGAACAAAAAAAAATACCGAAACGCCACCCCCGTCTGCGCCTAACTATCCCAAATCGCCCCATAGGCAGACACGCCACGCGTCTCCAGGCCGTAGACAACCTTTTTGGTGATCTTCTCGTTGGCGATGATGATGACAGCCTCCGCGTCAAAGTCCTTGGCGAGGTTGTACGACATCTTGACGAGATCCGGGCGGCCTTGGGTGCCGGTGTCCCAGATGACGGCGTCCGGGCACTTGGACTTGAGCAGGTCGCACATGGGCTTGCCAAACGTGTTCTCGGGATCTTTGGTGGACCAGAGCAGCTTGGTCGGGCACGATGGGTTGAGGATATGTCCGAGCTGGGGACCAATACCAGAACCGGTGGCGACGATGACAACCCGGTTGAAGAGGGTCGCGATGCGCATGACACCACACGTCGGCACGCCTCGCACCCAGATCTTGGGGCTGGGGTTTTCGACCATGGCGCGCGTCCAGTCACCGGCGTTGGAGACGACAAGCGAGTAGCCTTTGGGGTTGCCGTCCACAGCCTCAGGGGCAGGGATGGTGGCGAACGAGTGCCACTCGAGGAGTGGTTTGTGAGACAGTCGCGTGAACGAGCCATTGACCGGAACCGTGTAGTCAAAATGCAAACGGACCGCGTGCTTGGACAGGGGCTCAGCCTTGACGGGAACCTTTTTGAGCCAGAACCAAGACGAGGCGACGCTGAGCGTGGCAACAACCAGGAGCCACAGAGAGGGTGTCCTGACCGCAGCCGTTCCAAGGGGAATATCAGCAGCTTTTGTGTCGTTGGCGGTGAGCACAACTTGTGCCCAGAAGAGACCGAGAAGAGTCCAGCCCACGAACCGGTGGAAGATTTCGAATTTGTTGTGATGCGCCTTGCGGACCGTCGGGTACGCCATGGCCAGCATGGCAACAAAGAGAGCGGCGATGATCCAAGCGATAATCTTGGCGGCAAGTGAGAGTCTCCCCCAGTGTCCATTGCAAGTACCCAACGCCATGCACGCTGTGTCGCCGGCCGTGTTGGCGAACATCCAAAGCGCTGCACTGACGCCAGCCCCTGAATGGACGCCACCGAGATGGAAGACGCGAGCGGCCCGCGTACGGATCCAGAGAGGCCATGACTTGGGAATGCTGCACGTTGTCGTGTAAATGGCGTTGATGACGAATTCCTGTCTCATGAGAACGGCAATGGTGAGGTTGACGGCAGTGACGGTGCCCACAGCTTCGCGCTGGAAGCCCGTAAAGGCCACTATGACGACGGTGGCCATGTTGAGAAGAGCCATGAGAGTGAAAAGTTGTCGGTAGACGATCAGCACGCGATGGCGGATGCCACGAACGGCCTTCCTCTGCTTCTTGTCGGGCACAGCAGCCTCCAGGTCGACGACCCCGGCCTTCTCGTCCACAAAGCTCGAGCTCGAGTTCGAGATGGAGCTTGATTTCGACCAGTCGTACAACGTTGTCTCGGTGGTCCCGGATAGTTGCTTTTCGAGGCTGGGCGGATTTGTCACATCCGCAGTTGAGCTGGGCTTCTCGACGACCAGCGCCTGTGTGCCGGAGGCGGACTCCTTGAGCAGCTTCTTGTCGATCTTGCCGTTGGAGGTCACGGGAAGTTCATTGAGAAGATGGAAATGCGAAGGCACGGCGTAGTATGGCTGGCGCGTCTGCAGGTGAGTCTTGACAGCGTCGACGTCGGCGTTGGCTGGGGTGATGAATGCATGGATCTCGCCGCCCCAGAAAAGCACGACGCCTCTGTCGACAACACTGCAAGAGTTGACCGAAGCGGTGACTCCGTCGAGCTCAACCCGGAAGCCCTGATTTGTCAGAAATGAAGACTTATGAGGGAGAGATCAGAATTACTCACCTTTACCTTCACCTGGTCATCAACTCGACAAAGGATTTCGATAGATCCATCGGCCAGCCATCTCCCGAGGTCGCCTGTGTTGTATGTTTTCGATCTATGCGGTATTAGTCGATTGCTGATGCTGAATGATTCTCCTTGTGCCACACTCACCTCGTATTCAAGAATGGATCCGGGACGTATCGCTCTGCAGTCTTCTCAGGAAGCCCGAGATAACCCCTGGACACTCCCAGACCACCGGCCCACATCACCCCAGGCTCGCCATCAGGAACAAGCTCGTGGTTTTCATTGAGAATGTAGACATTGTTGCCGGGGGTTGGTTTTCCAATAGTCAATGGCCCGCCACTGACGTGCTTGTGCATAGTGTTGACAATTGTGGTCTCAGTGGGACCGCAACAGTTGTAGTACGTCTTGTTTGCGGCCCATTTGTCGGCCAATCTGGAGAGTCATGTTAGCACAGCCTTGGATCAGACTATGTCCGATCAGAGCATACCGTTGGGAGGTTGGCTCTCCGGCTGTGGCGACGGTTCTGATCTTGGGATAGTCCTGGGGTTCATATTTGGCGAGAATGGTCGGCGTGCAGATGAGCACCTCAATCTGCTTCGTGTCAGCCTCTTCTGGATCAAACTTCACTACTTTACTCACCTCTCTTATACACGCATTCCAATCTGAGCCCCTGAGAATCAGTGTTCCTCCGTTGCATAGCGTGCCCAGGATTTCCCAGGCAGCTGCGCCAAGTCAATTTCAATCCTCAATATTGCACATGCATCCAAGAGGCAAACTCACCCATATCAAAGCTGATATTGAGGGTCTGACCAACTTTTGTCCCAGTCGTGATTCCCAAATCACCTGGTGATTGGCAGATCAAATTGGTGACATTTTTGTGTGTGACATCCACCCCCTTTGGTGTGCCCGTAGTGCCTAGAGGGATCGTCAGTCTTTCATTCTTCGCTCAGTGTATCTCGCGTCTTTCGCAATTTCACGAACCTGAAGTGTAAATAATGTAGCACCCGCTGTCGGGCTCTGCAAAGTTCTCCAGCACGAGATAATCTGAGCGACTCTCATCGCCACTACGCTCAGACAGCTCATCGATACAAATAACGCTGAGCCCAGGAAACTCGCCCAGGCGATGTTTCGTCACGCCCATGGCCAGCACGACGCCACGCCCGCCGCAGTTCTGCTCCACCACGAAGCGCAGCGTAGAGTCTGGCACGACGCCGCCGTCAAGGGGCGCATACTGCGCGCCGCAGGAGAGCACGGCCATGATGCCTACCAGCATGTGGATGCCGCGCTTGACCACCAAGGGTACGCGGTCGCCGGGACGTACACCAAGACGTCGCATCTCGACAGCCAGGCGCGCCGCGCGGTTCGAGAGGGCCCGGTACGTGATCTCCTCAGTCTTGTGTGCGGACGAGATGCTCACTGCGGCGAGGGAGTCTGGGTTGGTGAGTACCTGGTGCTTGAAGGCATCTGTGATGGTACTGAAGCGAGGATGGCTCTCGGGACCAAACATCTGGGGGAACACGCTGTCCGAGGCGGGCCGCGACGTTTGGTGAAGGGGTGCCATTGTGTCTGAGGGAGATGGTGAAGGCTTATGGGGTATGAAGCCGGGGAAGATGAATGGGGTCCAGCCCTGGGGACGTCTAAGCAGGCGCCGTCGAGAAGTGAATGCAGAAGAGCAAAGCAAAGCAAAGGACGTGTTACGCTGAGGCTGTGATACCTCTGTGCGATCTGAACATGACCTAGTATGGCGGTGTTTCCGCTTGATTTCGACGAGGCATGCCTGCTCTTATACTTGCTCGTCAACGACATCCCCCTTCACCCCTGGCCAATATCCAAGAACTTCATCCAGGTCAAGGTAGACGGAACCCTGCCGCCCATGGCTCTATGTGAAGTCTGGACAAGTGACACGGGTGAGCATGTTGCAAGTTGCAACAAGTATACGTAGCGCCGATACACACTTGTTTGTTACCTTGTCGGAAGGTTCCATCGAGTCCCGTTGTCGACATGCAGGTGGACAGCTTGCAGGCCACGGACGGTGCTCGCTGCCGAATCTGGACTCGTGCCGCACATTGGACTTGGTCACTGCGAATGGCCAGACGTCTAATTACTCCGTAGGAGATCAGGTAGGTAAGGTTAACCAGGTCCCAAGTACGCTGGCGGACTGGATGCGTCCGTGTCACCATTTGGAAAACAGAACCCAGTACGGATACGTACCTAGTATCAAATGGCGGCAGAGCCCACCAGGCTAATATCCTGGATCCGCGCTGTCGAATTATCTCGTGTTCCCGGGCTATGCTTTGCTACTGTTTGAACGGTGGAGATCCCACCAGTGCAGACAGCGCTGGCTGCCATTTACGTCATGAGAGCAAGAAGATTGCCATGCTGATTAGTACCTACGCTTGTGCTGTGGTTCTCCTCGCTCTGTACGTAGTAGCTGGATCTGCCTCGAGGTTCCAGGAGTCCCGTCCTTAGTTCCCAGACCCACGCCAATACGACACGTACCTGGACTGGTGGTCTCTTGGAGGCTGGAGCCACCCCTTCTGGAAATGGTGTCCAGGATCGACGGGCTAATTATGCCTGTTTCCCACGCGAACTCTCTTCAGGTGCATGCGTCTGGCTTCTTGGTGAAGCCCATGACGTGTTCCCGCAGCGCGCAGCGTAGCAGTAGCATGTTCATGTCCATGTTGGCGGAGCGCGCCTAATTCTTCAATTGCCGTGCTTGTGGGGCTCGGAAACTGTAAACTTGTGACAGCTGCTCTAATTAGCGCCGTAGCAGAATTCGCCAGGCCAGCGGGTGAAACTCTCGATTTTCCCCTGCGAGTATGCGTACGGACTGGGCCGTGTACGAAACATGGTGCGCGGTGATGAGCCCCCTTTTGGAGGGACTGGAGTGCCTCACAAGAGCAACTCGCAAGCGCGCTTGCCAGCGCGTTCAACAACACCCTGAAGTCATCAACCACCCTCGTTCTCACAGCTTCCCCCCACGAGCTGCATCACGCAGGTGACAGGACACATATTCTTCCGTACTTGTAGGCATGTTACCGTACGCGGACATCCATCAGACGCCAACGCAGCCCACGGTCGTCGGTCCTGTCTACCGAGTCGCCCGCCCCTTGCAGGCGGCGGAACGCGGCTGGTTCGAGGCATCGACGGCGTCAGACTCCGACTCGCCCTGTCAAATCCGTCAAGAGGTTGGACCGTTGGAGAAGGGACAGGGATCGCGGATGCTGACACAAGCTTTTGTCAGAGTCTTGGGTCTGCCAATGGGTGGTATTTTGAAGCCCAAAAACCCCGCAAATACGACACTTGCAGATTTCCGCTGACTTCTTCCTCTCCTGTTCCTGTATCCGTAATACGCGGCCGAATCTCGTCAACTGTTTCTCCCGCCCCTTGTCTCCCCGCATTTCCAAAGGGGACAGGTCACAGAACGAGACTGGCAGACGGAGATGAGGCGCGCATCGTGTTCGATCCCAACTACGGCGTAGTCTAGCGCGCAGAGAGCGAATGGAGGCAGGCATACCTGCGGCCTCGACGAAACCGCCTGCCTAATGCAGGCCTCACCTCTTCCTCGCTTGCCTCCGTATTGGGCGACATCGTCAAAGTTCTTTGCGTTTGTCTGCGCGCGTGTGCTCGATGCTCCTTCGCAGTTCAAGGCCGTCCCTGTCATGGGTTGCATTCGGCCCCACGCCGGTCGTTGCTCGGTTACTGCATGTGATTCTTGAAGGCTTCGGTTTGGTTTGGTAGACAAGTCTTGTCCAGGAATGGTAGGTTTCAGGTCTCGGCAGCGATTGTCTTGCACCGGTCACGATCCTCACATGCAAACTTGAGCTCTGAGATTCAAGGTCTCTTGAACAAGGGGGACGCCAGCTCCACAATCCACAATTGTGAGGCCGGGGATGGTCAAGGATCTTACGCGTCGTCCGTGTGCAAGAGACATGCTGTTCTTCTGGCAGAAGGCGTCGTCCGCAGAGGTTCCTTCTGAAGTTCTGAACCTCGTAATAAGGGCTGGGGTCGTCTTTAACAATAGCCCAGGTGGGTGACCAAACCAGCCCCCCCTTAGCATTAGCACCGCAACTAATTGGCAAGCAAACACGCATTGGAGACCATACCTCGGAGTTTCATTCTTCTTTGTCAGCTCTTAGACGTCCTTCACGCATAACCATGGCAGACGCTCTTGTCACAGTATCAACACCCTCGGATGGCGTCAGAGTCCTGGCCTTCAACCGGCCAACCAAGCGCAATGCTCTCTCGCAGGACCTCATCGACCAACTGCTCCAAGGCCTCACCACGGCTGCCAATGACAGTTTGGTCAGGGTGATAGTCGTTACTGGCAGCAGCACATTCTTCTCAGGTAAAAAGACCCCTTGGGATGGAAGCTCTCCAAGGTCTTCTCCGCCAGTGACTGACATGCTATAGCGGGGGCGGACATTAAGGAGATCTCTCAGCTCGACGCTGAAATGGCACGGCAGCGTCGCTATCTTGAAGACCTTTGCACATGTATTGCTGGGATCCGCAAACCCATCCTCGCCGCGGTTGAGGGCATGGCTGTGAGTACTACGTACTTCCTGGGAGTGCATGCAGCCGCTGGTTTGATTGACTCGTCTTCGCCATGCAGCTTGGAGGTGGCTTCGAGGTCACATTGATGGTGAGTTCACATGTTTCCGGGCCAGCTGACCGGCCCCCTTGCCTTATGCAACGTAAAACTGACACACGAGCCTCACTGCAGTGTGACATCATCTTTGCCTCCAACACTGCTCGCTTTGGGCTGCCTGAAGTCAGTATCGGGCTTTTGCCCGGCGCCGGTGGCACGCAGAGACTGACAAATGCCGTTGGCAAGTTCAAGGTGAGCTCAACTCATCCTCCTGTTGAATCTGCCAGGCGCGAGAGACTCACATGCTTCTGAAAGGCAATGCAAGTCATCCTACTGGGCAAGCAGATCGAGGCCCCCGAGGCCCATGCTGCTGGCCTCGTGGCTGACATATACGAACCTGGGACTGTCCTGGAGGAGACTCTCACAGTGGCAGCGCAGTTGGCAGGGAAGAGTTCCACGGCCGTCGCCTTGTCGAAGGAGGCTATCAAGAGAGGTAAGTGATTCGGTGCACTTTCACATCGTATCACGCTGATTGACACTTCGCAGCTGATGATCTCGGCCGTGATGATGAGTTTGAGAGAAGTCTGTACTACTTCGCCTTTGGCACGGCGGACAAGCGAGAGGGTGTGGCAGCGTTCCTCGAGAAGAGGACGCCGACCTGGAAGACGGGCTAGTAGTACCTAATAGTGCCAACACGTCGCCACCCTTATGCGGTATTGTCCGCCTCCAGTTCCTTCTTCTGCTCCTCGAGTTCCTCAATCTCGTCCTCGCAATCTCTGATGGCGCGGTCAATGTCGGCCAGCTGGCGCTCGGCTTGGTCGATGGACTCTTTCAGATTCAGCGTCTCCTCGTTTCGCTTCTCCTGGTCCTCGGAGCTGCCGCCGCTCACAATCGGCTCCAGCTGGCCGTCCAAGTCGATGGCAAGCTCCAGTCGGCTCTGGACCCTATCCCGCATCTTCTCCAGGTCTTGCCGGTGCAGCTTCCGAAGTTCGATCGCATCCTCGAGCATGGCTATGGTACTCGTCATGATGACTGAAGCTCGCGATGGCGCTGTTCTGTATGTGATAAAGTCTGTTGCCGTCAGCTATGGCCATGTATTCCGCGCTGAGTCCTTACCTGTAGCCGTAGCACGTTGGACAATGGCGGTGTTGATGTTTTGCTCGTCTTTTCTTCGAGTCGCTTCTTCAAGTCGCTCCTTCGTGTCGTGTTATATGAATCACGGCCAAGGATCCGTTCCTTTTGCTGCCTAATGAACGATGGCTTGCCGTCTGGATTCGTTGACATGCACTTTCCTGAAGGCGTCCAGATTCCATACACTCAGATTCCGACAGACGTGGCAGCCTTGTTGTACCAGACTCCCATCGAGCATGCAACTGGTCACGCACGTTGCTCTTGTGCTGCCTCACGACAAGCACGATAATTGTGTCAAGTCTCCATTGGCCGACAATGTGATTCGGCCGTCGTTTCTTCTTCCTGTCGGGTACTCACGCCTTTGTTGTACTACACATTCAACGAGCACAGCATATCCGCGGTCAGCAGACCGGTGAGTTTTCTCCGAGCCTGACGCCTGCCAAGAGTAGGAATGGGCATCGAAGTCAAATGCAGTATTTCAAACTGCCGGACGAGGATCGCGTTGGAGGTAATCATCCTACACGGATTCATTTTAATGCCTGACCAGGTACATAGATGCTTGCTACGCTTGATCATTGTATGTATATACCGGACTAAAAACGGCGCCCTCTCCCTTCTGCTTCATCCCTCACTTGATAAAGGGCGTCAAGCTCGTGGTCCCATTCATACCTGCCGCAACGGCACCAGCAAACGCCTGAGCAATGGCATCGGCACCCGCGGGACTCGTGTGCGTGTGGTCGTTGGGATAGAACGCGTTGACGGCATCCCGGCCGAGGGAGAGGTACAGGTTGCTGACAGCCTGGAAGTTGTCGACAAAGGTGACATCGGGGTTGTTCAGCGCCTTGGTGGCCGTCTTCTGGTACCCGACAAACCGGCTGGGCGCCCCCTGGTAGGTCCCCGTCTCCCACTGGTTGTTGGGCGTCTGCGAGCTCAGGACGACGGTCGCGCCCTTGGACAGGAAGAGGCGAGACGCCTGGATGACGTAGAAGACAAAGGTGTACACCGTCTCACCCGTCTTGTCCGATATGCACGTCTCCGTGCCCGCGCCAGGGCAGTCCGATCGTCCATTGTCGTTGCTCTCGGGTGACCCGCCGTCGTTGTGGCCAAACTCAATGACCACAATGTCCCCGGGCTGGACGAGGTTGGCCACCTCTTGGAAGCGGCCCTCGTTGTAGTACGAGCGCGCGGAGCGACCGCCAATGGCCTTGTTGACGGCGGGGATGGTCAGGTATTTGCCAATGTAGGCGCCCCAGCCGTCAGTGTCACCGTCGTTGGCGCCTCGGGCTGCCATGGTGCTGTCACCGCAGAAGTAGGCTGTCCGGGCGTCCACCGCACGCAGGCCCGCGAGGAACAGGGCGGAAACGGAAGTGAGCTTCATCTTGAAATTCGGTACTGTGTGATACTCGTTTGAGGCTAGGTCAAAGTGCAGTGCTCCAGTCTTCGAGGATGATCCACGGATGGAAGCGATACCCCAGATTTCGACACACTTCCCCGTACTTATACTCAAATCCCGACCATTTCAGCCCATAGCACATTCAAGCTCGCAGGAAAGCCAAGCGAGCTCCGGTACAGGTGCCGGTGTCATGCAGGGCAATGTCGCAGATCTACCTACCATCTCCGCTCGACCGGCATCCACCCGCCCCAATCACCCAGGTGGAAATATCCCTAATTCCTTTGCGGAACGTCCCGCTCCGTGCTGTCGTCGTTTCGTCCAAAAGTTATACCGAACGGGCAGAGCAGGCGTGGAGCTCGGGCGGACAAACCTCGTTATAATATTGTGGCCGTGCCAAGGTTTCAGGTGGCGAGTATCAGGTTCGCGGTGTTGAAGTTTCGAGGACTCGACAGCGAGATTGTTTGCGGATACTATTTCACGGTAAAAATGTGTCACTGGGTCCGCAACGATGCTGGCTGCTTAATTATGAGCATGGTATAGTCATACATGCTGACATTGCTGCGTAATTCTTTCTTTTCGTCCTCATAATCTTCATCACTCGTCCAGTCATCTCTCGTTGGGTGCCCGCCCCTACTTAGATCCCGTTGTATCGCACGCCTCTTCGGCCCATCTCCTTCCTTCCAATGGCATCCTCGGGCCAGATCCAACCTCGAGTCCTCTTGGCCTCCCTCTTCTCGGCCAGCTGGGGCGCTGGCATCCATGAGTCTCTCGGCTTGGCCTTGCGGCGTGTACCCTCCGCCGGCGCACCAATCTCAGACCTCCAATGCGCGTGAGGTGGCTGCGGGCTGCTGTTGGATGCCATCTGACAAAGCCCCCAGAGGGCAAGACAAGCGGTGAGGGGAACCTCGCTCATGCTTGTCTCGGATGGCGCAGCTGCAGCCAGCTGGACAGAGGCGATTTCCAGGTCGCCAAAGAAAGGGGTGGCCTGTGTGCCATTCCTGACAACGACGAGCTCAATCTCGGTCAGGATAAATCCGTATCGGCAGCCGTGTTCACGCATAGCGTAGTGCAGTGCTGCGAGGCCACGGAGGTATTCAACTCTCTTGATGTTGCCCTCAACGCGCATTCCGGTATTGAAGCGATCAAAGGTGCGAACGAGCCCGACAACACGAGCTGAAGGCTTGCCGCCAAACATGGCGGAAGCGGTGGATGACTCGCCAGCCGGGTTGACCGCGAAAAGGAGGTCTTCTGTGCCAGCCATGGGTTTCTTGGCTGAAGGCACAGTGATATGTAGGGGACGAGAAGACGACAGAGCAAGCGCCGCATTGAGCTTGGGGAGATAGTAGGATGCGTAGATGCTGTGCAGCGCAGCCTCGGTTTCCGGGTGCCGAGCAGACATGGCTGGCTGGGGCAGCAGGGTAGCGGGGACTGGTGTGCTCAATAGGCCGGAGGCGCCTGGCAGGGAGAGGATCGTCGACGCAGTAAAGCTGGACCATGACCGCACACTGCGAACATCCCACCAAAAGTGCTTGATGTTGGGGTCTCTGTGCGGGAAGGACACGGTCCGTACAAGCGAGGCAGCAGGGTTGGGAGAGGTGAGGAAAGTCTTGAGCACACTGGAAGGTGTCGGCTCAGGGGTGACACTGGCCGCAGCAGCGCCCACGGCGAGAGGAGAGGGCGCACGGGGCGTATAGGCGGACGGGAATGTGAAATCTGGCTGTTGGACCACAGGCGCCTGACGGTACGTCGGGTAGCCGTACTTGTTCAGTGCGGCGGCATCGACGCTGCTGCTGCGACGGGTTGATGGAGTCTCGCACTCGGGAGCAAAGCTGGCAGGCGAGCATAGCAACGAGTTGGAGAAGCTGTCGTCCAGCTGGTGCTGCTGGGGCTGTGGCGTTGGTGTCGAGAAAGACATGTGGGCAAATGCGGCCATGTTGCTCAGGGTCTCGGGGTTGGTGTAGCTCCTGGCGTGGTTTCCCGCAGGACGCCTTGTCTTTACGCGACGAGGTGCGGGAGGTGGCGTGACGGTCTTGTGCGCAGAGATGTGATGGTGCCTTGGTGGAGCGGTGTCGACATCCTGATCCTGGGAGCGGATCTTGGGCAGCAGGATGGGACCATGGTGGTGGACTGGAGGGCTGGCACGAGGAGGGGTGGACAGGCGGGTGCAGACAGAGTCTGACGTCGAGTCCACTGTTGACGCAGAGGAGTAGATGGATGCTCGCGATGATGAACGAGTATGGGTGTGAGGCTTGTGTGCTTGTTCGGGCGCAGTATAAGGCTGGTAGCCGGACGCCAGTTCAAGATCAAGGTCAAGGTCCAAGAAGACGGGATCGAGGGCAAAGTCCATGACCGGCATGAGCTCTGGTGATGATGATGATGTGACAGGGAGCTCGAATGACGAGTAGGGGTAGCCAAAGTCGAAGCTCAAGTCAGCTTCCTGACTGTACCTGTACGATATGAGCATCGACCAGACTAGTTGGTGTCTCACCTAGGTGAGGGCTGACTTACACAGACATGGTGGCTTGATTAGCTAGATTACTACGAGAGGCCTGCTCTCAAACAAGATGTAAACGCAAACGAGAGCCAGTCTCGTCGCTTCTTCTCAAACACAAACAGAGGAATAGGGAACAGATGGAAAAGATGCTGAGGATGATTGGAAGCCAGAATGGCAAAGGCAGGTCTTCTTATCCATGGCCGACCTGGGCCCCATGATGCACGGATGAGTCCCATCCAACGGATTCTCCCAGACGCCCTGTATCGCAAATCATTCAAGCGCGCCGGATCTACGACTAGAGATCTGAGGGTGAAACGCGCCCATCGCGGTCGCGCACTGTTCTCCACAGACGCGGTAGGGCGCATGCACAGTGCGACGTGCGGATCTGGGGTCGCGGCCGTGGCTGCACGTCCTGGCCTCCTGAGTGGCCCTCTGGTTCGCTTCGAGTCATCTCCATGCGCCTTGTGCATGGTTCTCCACTACACGAGGACAATGTTTCCTGTCGTTGTCTCTTTGACGTGTTTCGTTTCTTGGACAACGGGCCACGTTCTTTTGCTGCGCGGTCTCCGACAGCACTGTCGGTCGCGGTCTAACTATGTTTGCGTGAGGCGCGCTCTGCGATCAAGACCGACCGACGCGTTCCCGCTGGACGACGACGAGACGTGGTGCTGTTGACGCTGGTCGTTCGATGGATTCCTGCTTCCACGGCAAAGTCACCTTTCCGCAGTGCCGTGCGATATGGATATTTCTATATTTACCACATTAGGTCGGAACATTCTGACATACGTAAGGCGACCCTAGCCCGGCCAAGCTTCGGGCCCAGACTGAGCAGATCCCAAAGAGCCGAGCGCCTGCGCTGTAACAGCCGCCTCTCACGTCGGACGAGCGCCTGCGCAAATAGTCCAAGGGGTCCGTTCTCTGAGGGTACTCGTGGCCTACGCGGCATTCAAACTGCACAGCCGCACCCGCGGCGCGTACCATGATGGGCGCGATGGGTTCTCGTACACGGGATTGGTCAAGAGCGGCAACGCGCTCTGATTGGGCCGTCATAGCGCGACGACGCGCGGGCCCGGACGTGAACAGCCAATGATGACGTGAGCAAGGGACAGCTCTCCCTAAAGTGGTAAGTTGTGTAGGTCCGTACCGACTTCAAGCCGACTTGGATATTGTGGCACGGTAGTAGGGTTATGATTTCTGGTGAGCAACGCGTTCGATCAATGGCAGGATCTCTAAGACATCTAAAGCTAATTAAGAGAGATGGTGTATTACTGAAGAATCCTTGATTTCCAAAGAAATCGACTGGGCAATCAACGATATCACATGAGTGCTTTTCCACGTCTGCGGTCTAGCGCTGCAGGGTAGCCTTCAGTTTAAATGCTAACAGACGAGGACCGTGATTACTAGGCAGTAGTACATTGAGAATCAAGAATCGAATCGAGGCACTATGTGGCTGGATTCGTTGTTAATCGCGGAAATACCTTCAATCATAGATTGACCGGAACATTGACCGGAACAATGGACGACGATTATGGCCTGGCTGGTTATTAGTGATCGCGATAACTAATGCAGTATGATCCTGTTTGGCGTCTCAGCAACTATAACAGGGCTAATCTGGTGACTTGAAGTCTAGGAAAGGTTCTATTATTGGCGATTTACGAACTCTCGATTGTTGAAATTTCAAGGCTCAGAACGGGACTAAGAAGATAACATACAATGAGGAATTCTGTCATAGCATCAAAGACGCCTTTTTGCTGTGGCTGTGAGCCATGTAGGCAACTGACCTCAAACCCACCTGGTAGGAAGACTTCCACAAGTACTGTCTGGACCAGGGCCAGCTAAAGCCTAGCGAGATTTTCACCAGTGTTGGACGATGCGAAGAGTGTCGGAGCCGACAAGGATTCAGGGGCTGCACAAATACTGGCGGAGACTTCAGGTTCACACACAAAAGGTGGGTAACAACGCATTGTGGTGATGGCAACATTGAACTAAAGATTAAAAAGTCTGTCAGAGTAAGCACATATCTCACTGGGTTTTCTGGACTTTATCGCAATACTGCGTGTGTGGACAATGGGCGTTGCGCCCGATCAGTTGATCACCGACTTCCCCTGGCTAGAAGTCCACGAGGCAATCTTTCCACCACGACATGTTAATTTGTATAAAAGTAGTTTTAGCCAAATGATAGTATTTCAATGTAGGTTGCCTTTATGAATTGAGCCAAGTTCAACCCTTTGGAAGACTTTCTGAGTACATATGTACGACTGCGGATACGAACACGAACACGAACCCGTAAGCGAACACGACACGCTGCGTATTCGCCTTGGAGCAGACATGACATTTGATGACCATTAGGCGATGCACATGATATCAAATCCTCAGGGAATGACAGGGAAAGCACAGTAATACCACTTCTCTTCAACTCCTGCAAGCTCGAGCCCGCCTTGTCTGTTGTGTGTGTCGTTGCATGCGTGTATAAAGGGGGCTCGGCACCCTCTCGTCTCCTGTGTTGCGAACATGCAACTGCCTACATGTACAGCACGGCCTCCAAAGGTTTCAAAAAGGCTATCGAATTTGCACTCTGGTATTCTTCTTCAATCATGGAAGGCTTTGTAAAATACGTTCAGTGGTCTGCCTCGGCGTTCGTTCTGCTATTCGTCGTCAACATCATCCGCCAACTCCTGCCCCGAAGCAAATCTGAACCCCCAGCCGTTTTCCACTGGATTCCATTCATTGGCAATGCAATTGAGTATGGAATGGCGCCTTACAGCTTCTTCACCAAGAACCGTGAGAAGGTACGCTGGCTTTTGCCAAACCATCCTAACCGCGGGACCACATGCTAAAGATGACACTCTGCAGTTTGGCGACGTTTTCACCTTTAAAATGCTCGGAAAAAACATCACCTGCTATTTTGGCATCGACGGAAACGAGTTCATCCTCAACGCCAAACACTCCGACCTCAGCGCCGAAGAGATCTACAGCCCCCTGACGACCCCGGTCTTTGGATCCGATGTCGTCTACGACTGTCCGAATTCGAAACTCATGGAGCAAAAGAGGTTTGTCAAGTTCGGTCTTACACAAAAGGCCCTCGAGGACCATGTTCCACGCATCGAGCGGGAGGTGGTGGACTACGTCGCAAGCGCGCCCCAGTTCAGGGGTCAAGTTGGAACCTTTGACGTCAGCCAAACATGTTCACAGATTACGATCTTTACGGCTGGACGAGCCTTACAAGGCGACGAGGTGCGGGATAAACTGACCACCGAGTTCGCTAGCTTGTATCACGATCTGGACATGGGATTCTCCCCCATCAACTTCATGCTGCCATGGGCGCCACTGCCGCACAACCGCAAGCGCGACGCGGCCAGGAACAGGATGCGAGACATCTACGTCGACATTATCAATAAGCGTCGAAAGAGCGGCGGCGAAGAAGGCTTCGACATGATCTGGAACCTGATGAACTGCACGTACAAGGATGGCACGCCGGTGCCTGATCACGAGATTGCGCACATGATGATCACGCTGCTCATGGCAGGACAGCACACTTCTTCGTCCGCCAGCACCTGGATCATATGCCACCTGGCGTCTTGTCCCGATATCACCGAGGAGCTATACCAGGAACAGGTACAGAACTTGGCCGGTGGAGGGCGACTTGAGCCATTGCAGTACCGAGACCTCGAGAAGCTACCTCTTCTGCGCAACGTCGTCAAGGAGACTCTTCGAGTGCATTCGTCCATCCACTCGGTACTGCGCAAGGTCAAGAAGCCAATGCCAGTGCCGGGTACCGATTTCATCATTGACACCAGCAAGACGCTGCTGTGCTCGCCGCTCGTCACAGCACTGAGCGACGAGTTCTTCCCCAATACTCACGAATGGAACCCTCATCGCTGGGACAGTACCAAAGCGGGTGGAGAAGAAGAAGATGACGACGTGAATGAGGTTGCCATCTCAAAAGGCACGCGAAGCCCTTACCTGCCCTTTGGAGCGGGGCGTCATCGGTGCATTGGGGAGAAGTTCGCGTACCTTAACCTCAGTGTCATTGTCGCCACCTTGGTCCGGGAGTTCAAGTTCTTCACAATGGACGGATCGAGAACGGTGCCGGAGACGGATTACACGTCCTTGTTCTCCAGGCCAGTGCAGCCGTCAGAGCTGCGATGGGAAAGGCGATGATTGGGTGACAATGACCATAGACTTCTGATCTGATCGACATGGCCACCAGGTCGTTTCGTTTGCTAGTACACCATGAATTGACTGCGGATTAAATAACGATTGAATTAGTCCGAGAGGGCTGGAGTGATTGTTATGTTCTGTGATAATAAAATGCCTGCTGACAACAATAGACGGCTGGTGATGAAGTGAGCGTTTGGTCGGGGACAGCAATAATCCGACCTCCAGTCGGGACAGCGGATGGCCCAAGCTCCGGTCATGACAGGGACTGGACTTGGCTCCCCTGGAAGGCTGGCCGCTAGACAGGTAAGGTACCCACCCAAGGCACCTTACCTGAGCTGTGGCCAGTCAGCGTCAAGGGCAGATCGACAGCTTGCGAATGCTGGTAAGGCCAGGTACGTACGCTTAGGCTAGCGATTGCGATGAAGTCAACATCCAAGATAAGACACATTCAACCTGTCATCCACGGTCATTCCCTTCTCGCGATCCCTAACTTCAGCCTGTCTATCCTCCTCTGCCGCCAATATTGATCTCCATCATCGATCGCGTCACCGACGACATTGTCACACCCACAGCCACAGCTTCCGCGATCACGATCCGCACGTCGCGAACAGGCAGAGCTCGATTGACCATTTAATGCCATCTTCGACCACCACCGTCGCGAAAAGTCTCCGCAGCTCTTCAGCCTTGCCAACTGCCCATCTTTGGGCCCCGAACCGCTCCAAAAGACGGCCGAGCAAGTCGAATGAATGCAACCACTCAACCCCTTCCTAGCCGCCTTCTTCAAGAGCTCGGTGGCCGCCCAGTGCACACCTGTCCATCACCACATCCTCCTCGTCCCGCTGACGGATGTTCTCATAACATATCGCGAGACCGAGAGCGGTGCGCCCTCGAACGAGGTCATCGCCTCGGAGGAGTTCCTAGCCAGCCATGTGCTGCGCATCCCGCCGCCCGGAACCGGCCCAGGCGTCAAGGATGGCGTGCCCAATTTAAGGGAGGTGAGGGGCAAGGCCAAGCAGCTGTCGACTGTCAATGGGAGGAGCGTCATTATCAAGGACTCATATGTGTATAGTAACAAGGGTAGGGGCAAGGAAGCCATGAGCGGAGGTCATGTTTGCTGACGTTCTCGTTGACAGGTTTCAAATCATTAGCGCAAGCACAGGTCCTCAGCGACAACACCTACTATCCGGACGTATTCGAGCCCAGACAATGGCTTCTCTACTTCATATCGAAACCGCTCGTCGGGACGTGGGAGGAGGTCAAGATCATACCTGCCGTACTGTCCTCCGGCACCAGACAACGCAGAGCATCTGAGCAAGCAAAGGCAGTCAAAACCGACTCACAAGTCGATTCGATACCCAAGAAAAAGGACGTTCAAAGCTTTCATGACCTCCTGAATCAGTTTCCCATGATCGCGCGACAAATGCACCCGGGACTGGAGAAGCTGTTCCTCGAATTCACAAACGTCTTTCAGAAACCGCTACCGCCTCCACCATCGTCCGAGAGCATACCAGATCCGCTGCCCGAAGGGCCCATTGCTTCGGCGACGAAAAAGGCGAGATCCAACAGTGTCTCGAAACACACTGAGGCTGGGGACCGACCCTTGCTCGTCCAGAACGATTACTATGCAGATGATGACGAGGTCATCATGAGGGCATCGCTCGAATCGGCAGTCACGGCGGCCATTGACCTCTTCCAGGGGGTTGACAAGCAGCAATTGTCGCTCTTGGGTGCGACGACCGATCTGACAGGACCTCTGGTGGAGAAACTCATCGAGCGATATGTCACGGAAAACGTGCATCATCTGGTTTTCCCAAAGCTGAACCAACTTAAACGACCCGAGGACTTGGAGCTAGAGGCCAAAATCAGACAGGTGGAGTTCATCGATATCTCTCAGCTGGGCATCGCCATTGAAGGCGGCATTCCGGGGAAACATGACCTCGTCATCCAGCTTGGCGCGGCGGTGGAAGAGTTTAGAAAGATGATGGCGGCCATGAGTCCACAAGAGATGATGGACCTCCTGCTGTCGACCATGAAGATTGTCTCTCAGCTCACCGAGCGCCAACCGAACGACAAAGCTGTTGAAGCGACGTCCGAGAAGGCGATTATGACGGTGAACGCAGACACCCTCGTGTCGTTGCTGCTATACGTTGTGATCAGGTCTCAAGTACGGCATCTTCAGGCCCGCCTTACCTACATACGCAGCTTCATCTTTATCGACGATGTCGACACCGGCGAGTTGGGATACGCACTTAGCACATTTGAAGCGGTCCTGACGTACTTGGCCATGGACTCGTCGGGGCTACGACGTGCGAGCCGACGGAACAAGGCGTTGTGGGATGCCGCCAAAGAAGGCAAAATGCATGACCTAAGAGACATCATCGAACCAAGCTCATCAGCCTTGCACGAGGGCCTTGAGTCGCCCGAGTCGCCGAGGTCCAGGAGGCCTTCGGTGTCATGGAGCATACCGAACGGCCATGCGCGCCGGTCCTCGTGGACGTACACGATACCCGACTCGTTCTCTGATGGATCAGGGCTCAGCCATGTCTTTCCGTTCCAATCTGGATCCGGGGCCAATGATGAAAGCCCTGCGATACCCTTTAAGCGTGTGAAGCGTGTCGCGATGGACACTCGGAGCATGTCGAGTGGCTCAGAGATATCGTTCCATTCGCGGACAGCAAGCCTTGCGAGTATTGGCAGCGCTTTGGAGGGCGACATCTCAGTCGAGCGCCTGACCCAAACTAATGATGGGTTTGGCGAGTCGATCCCAATGATGGCGATACAAAACGGCCGCCCAGCTGTTCTTCAGTATCTTCTGACTCTGGACGAGTACTATCCACTGGCGAATCTGTTAGTCGACATGAACAGTGAGAATGTGACGCTGCTCAGTGCTGCTGTTCAACTAGGCAATGCTGAAGTTCTGGACACGCTTTGGAATTTCATCTCAGACGCGGCAAGCGAAGAGGAGCTCATCAGGTATGTCGCTCTGCAAGATATCTGGGGACGCAGTGTCGGACACTACTTGTTCAACGCTCCATGGATGATTGGCCGCCTTGGACACCTCATTCCGTGGCGACAGCGAGACAAGAACGGGCAGACGCCTCTGTTTGCATTGTGTCGCTCCTATGACCACGCCGACTACCACGACATGGTAGAGCAGGGGTTGGCAGCGGCGCGACAAGCGCAGCATGACGGGGAACCCCTTCACATTGAGGAACACGTTGACAACAAGAGCAACACCTTGCTACACATCATCAATGACCCTCTCTTGGCCCTGATGATCCTGCGCCACTGCGATGTAGACGTGAACGCGACTAATGAGAAGCGTTTCACCCCGCTGATGGTGGCAAGCAAATACGGCAGGTATGATATGGTCAGGGTGCTGTTTGAAGACCCCCGCGTCGACACTGCCGCGAAGGAGCTTCGGGGGCTCACGGCAGTTGAGCTTGCTAAAGACGACGATGTTCGCAACCGCATAGACGACCTGGGCCTGTTCACAATGGTCCCTGGCAAGGATGGGCGGATAACGGGTGTGGTGAGGGCGTTCTTCGTGGAGGACGGGAGCGTGAGGCTCGTACTCAAGTCGGCAGCGCCCACGGATCGTGACAGCTACACCGTGACGTCCAGCAGGAGGTCGTTGTCAGACTTTGAGCAGCTGATGCAGCTCCTGGGGGAGGAGAGCCCAGCTTCGTGGCTGCCCACCGCCACCGATACGCGATCGCCTTTCCAGATTCCCTCGAAGCCGTCGAGAGCCATCCTGCGCGATATCCACGCCAAGACCGATTCTGCACTGAAGGTCTTACTGAATCACCCGACCTTTGCGACCCATGAAATGTTGTGGGAGTTCTTTCTGGTACCTGAGTTGCAACTGGACACGATGCGCGAGCGCTCAAAACTCAAGGCCGAGACACGGATGGAGCGCGTGAGGGACGAGTATGAACCGGTTGAGGATATGCGCGAGGTCGAGCAATTTGTGAATCATGCGCGCGAAATGGTCAGGGGTGTGAGCTACTCGACAAAGTCTGTCACAAGGCGAGCCAACAGCGTGGGCCTCGCCGCAGCGGGTAAGAGACAACTCCTTCCTCAGCAGTATGACCGTTCTGGCCAACTAACTAACTCGGTTTAGACATGTATGATGCGTCAGTGCTCCTACACAGAGCAGTCTCAACACTCAAATTCCTGCCCAGGACACACATGGACGCCTTTGAGTCCTATGTTCGCGCCCTAACGCCCACACAGAAGAATCCGCAGGTCATCCTCCACACCTCGTTACTAGGCGTTCAATCCACTGTGCAGGGTCTCTTGTCCGCCCTATCGCGGCCGACGACTCTGATCAGCCAGATACAAGCTGCCAAGAGAGAAGCAGAACGCAACTACAGCGCCGCCGTCCGGCCATCGAGGTGGCCACTCGGGCTTTTGGACGACACACGACAACGCATGCAAGATGAGAAGGAAGAGCGTGCAAAGGCCTCGAGACAGGAGGCCAGCTATCTGTCGCGAGAACTACGGTACACACAGCAGACCGTGGCGTCTGAGCTGGCGGGATGGCAGAGCATGCACGACCAGATGGGCAAGCGTCTCATCCGGGATTACGTACGAGGCATGGTCGTTCAGGAAAGGAACCAACTCGACGGCCTGATGCGTGCGCTGCGCAAAGTCAGGGGCGTGGCCGAAGAAGGCAAAGACAGGGAATGGGGTGTGCTCCACTCGCCTGAGCTGAAAGTGCAGGACAGAGAGATGGCGGAGGCGGCACCGGAGCCCAAGAGGGATGTTGTCGACACAGCAGCGGCAACAACAGCAGCACCAGCCACAACTACAAGCAGCGAGCATTCATAAATAATGAGCAGCGGCCTTCTGGGTACCTTGGATCATGGCGTTGGGCAAGGCAAGGATAGCATAACAGCACTAGGAGTTTTGTGTTTTGATGATAGATGGAGATCTAATATCTATATGGACTTTATCGCCTCATGGCGGAATTCTACTGTACTGGTTGTATATCTTTGGAAGCTGTCAAGTACGTGCACCGTGGTGGCAGTACTGACAGTCTGTGTGTATCAACTCTAAAACCAAGCGTGTATTTTCCTCCACATTGGTTTCTTCGCCGGCGCAATCTCCTCCTCATCGCCAGGGACGATACCGGACTTGTCGAGATCGGTCCTCCTGCCGCTATCGAGGTCCATCTCATGGCTCCTCTTGAACTTGTCCCGGCCGCGCCACAGGAGCTTGCACGCCACGTAAATCAGGCCGAACACGGGGAAGAGGATGTAGGCGACGACAAAGTTGGGCGCGTCAAAGGGCGACAGATTCGTCCAGCCGGAGACCAAGGCGAGGAAGATGTTGGCAAAGACGCCAAAGTAGGCGTTGAAGGGCCACAGCATGCTCTTGAAGGGGAGATCGCTGGCGCTGCGGCCTTGCGCAGCCCAACCACGCCGGAAACGGATGTGGATGAAGCTGATGCTGCCCCAGACCAAGAAGGTGCTGATGCCCGAGAGGTTGACAATGTAGCCGTAGGCCTTGGCCGCGCCGGTCGAAACGTTCATCATGGAGATGGAACCCACGGCGTTGGTCAGAACGATGGCCCAAACAGGCACACCTCCCATGTTCACCCAGCCCAGGAAACGGGGCGCCTTGCCGGACTGCGCCATGTAGAGAATGGTGCGTGAGCCGATGTAGATGGACGAATTGACGGCGGAGAGGCAGGTCAGCAGGATGAAGGCGTTGATGAGGTGCACGCCACCCTCCCAGCCGGCGTTCTGGAGGGCCACCGTCATGGGACTCTGCAGTGCCTTGGCGTCCGCGGACACAAGCTCGCTTGCATTGGCGGGGCAGGTGATGCCAAAGAAGAGAGCGGAACCCATGTACACGAAGATGATGCGCCAGAACACCTGTCGGATAGCCTGCGGCACGGCGGTGCCCGGGTTGCGCGTCTCGGTGGCGGCCACGGCGATGGACTCGACACCAGCGTAGAAAGTCGAGCAGAAGACGAAGACGGTCGCCACGCCGCGGAAGCCATTGCCGTTGAAGGCGCCAGGATCGTTCCAGTATCGGAAGCCGAGGGGTTCGGACTGCCCGATCAGTCCACCGGCCGCGTAAACAATGGAGAATATAAAGAAGGCCGTGAGACCGACGAGTTTCATGAGCGCGAGCCAGAACTCGGCCTCGCCAAAGGCCGCGATGCCCAGGAGCTGGAAGCCCAAGAACAGGCTCCACAGAATCAAGAACCAGCCCCAGATGGGCACCTCGGGCACCCAGTAGGTGAGGATGCTGCAGATGACGTTGTACTCGTTAGCGAGCACGGTGGCCCAGATGATGAAGTAGTTCCAGCCTACGGCCACACTGAACGACTTGTCGACCATGCGCTCCGCCAAGCTGACAAAGGAGCCTCCGCCGGGGAAGATGGTGGTGATCTCGCCCAGGCTCTGCATGATGAAGAAGGCGATGATGCCAATGACGCCAAAGCCGATGATCAGCGAGGCAGGGCCACCGTTGGACAGGGCGCCACCTGCACCAACGAGCAGGCCGGGCCCAATGATGCCCGCGAGGGCCATCATGGACAGATGGCGATTCTTGAGGCCGCGCTTGACGCCCGAGTCGGGATCATGCAGAAGGTCGTCGTCGCTGCTGCTGCCATTGTGCTCGGGGTCGTTGTGGTGGGCATTGTTGGTGGCCGACTGATACGCGGACAGACCGTCGGCGGGATGAGGCTCTGCGACGGGCGCGCCGCCAGCCGTTTTCTTACCCAACATGATGAGGGGTAGATTCACTCACGGTCAGTCGGGGACAGGAGAGACAGAGGGGAGGGAGAGGATGAGGAAAAATTCCAGGGTCCATGGGCATTGTTCACCACTATCGGTCCGTCGGGCGTCACGTCATCAAGAATAAGGTCGGTAGAGCTCATCGCGCGCGTGCGTGCAGCCTGCCTGCCTGCTTGCCTGCGAATTAGACTGAAGGAGCAGAAGGAGCAAAGGTTGCGTGCTTGCTCGATCCCCTTGTCCTGGGTCCTGGGTCTTGGCGAGGTGTGCGTGGGGTCAATATCTCTCTGGCTGACTCTGCATTCGAACAAGTCCACGACTTTGTGGCTGCGAACGGGTGGGGGTCCAGTCCGACTTGGTCAGTGTCTTTGAAGGGACTTGCTGAATGTTGACTCGTGATTCGGTGGAGGCTTAACTCCGTCAAGTCCATAATCCACTTGGTGAAGTGAAGGCTCTTCTATTCCACTTAGGCTACGTGCTAGCTCGGGAATGAAATCAACAGTAGATCTGGCCTCGTCGTTGCCGGCCCTAATTAGCCCTCGCAGAATCCGATAACTCGTTTCACTCCGCTCATAAATTTCTGTACATTCGCCTCTACCAGAGAGCGGTGGCAATCACGACATTGTGTGGCGTTCTTCACTCTGTCTGGGCTTGCCGGAATCGGGCGAATCAGCAACCTGTGTATGGTCACAGGGGTCTCTAATACCCCAGATCAGGCAGAAAGACGGACGTTCGGCAGATTGCGAGGATGCAACAAGATCTGATTACATCCCGATGCGGCCTTTGCACTTTGCTACCGACTCCAGGCCTAGACAAGTCACAAGTGACTAAATAGTAATTATGTAGACTACAGCGCTTCTATACCTCGCCAAACCCCGCCAAACCCCAGAATGGAACATTGGAAGTTTCCATGCGATTTTAGCGCACGGGCGACAAATTACAGCATCTGACAATCTCCGACTGTAGGGTAATCAACTTATATTGAGATCTGGCAAATGGTCACCCCGAAGCGACACATTCAAACCATTTCTCCGCCGAGAATATCATCAAACACCTCAAAGTTACCTTCCTTCCTGGTATCGAAAATCGCGAAAACCAATCTTCTCCACCAACCGCCCTCAAACTCCTTCTCGCGCAGCACTTCGAGCCAGCAATGCGCCACCTCCCGCTTAGGGTTGCGGAACGCACCGCATCCCAGCGCGCCCAGGACAAGCGTGTCGTGGCCCCGTGACGCCGCCATGCGCAGACACAGTCGCATCTTGTCCTTGGTCAGATCGCGCGCTGCCGGGTCGGCAAAGACCTGGCGATCTGTGACCACGCCCGATGCGTTCGATTGCTTGACTGTTTTGAGATCAGGACATCGTAGAGCCGCCACGCTGAGAACGCTGACGACCGGTAGGTCTCCAGGTTTGACGTCAAGGATCTTGTGCCCGCTTGGAATGTCGGAGCGTATGATCACAACGTCGGGTGTGTAGAGGGCCATGCGTTGCTTGAATGGATAGTATCGTTTGTGCAATGACAAGGTGAGGGAGCTCCGGTAACAGAGGGCTTCTTCTTGCGCCATGGACCCCTTCAGCCAGCCGCCTCCGGCATGGGAATGGCTCGCCATGTTGAGCACTGCGACTCTAGACGGCACCTCGGACGCGAGAGAAATGGCTGCATTGTAGGTATCTTCGTTGACGATGGAGATGGCTGTCTTGGGGTGCTGTGGGCAGTCGGTTGCTTTGAGCATCGGTAGAGTGGACAGGAAGAGCGCCTCCGACTTGGCGGCGTGAATATTGGGGAGATCCTTGAGAATGTCTGGCAGAACGGTTCGTGTCTCTGCGGCAATGGCTGCAAGCGCCGCGCGCTGCGCCGGATTGCCCCTCGGAGCTTTGAAGCGGCCAGGTGGTCTGTCATGACTACCTTGATCGCTGGCTGATGCCCGTGCCTGTCGAGTGTGATGTGATCTCGACCGTGGCGACAGCCACGAATCCAGTGTTCCTTGACCCTTTGAGTCTCTCGCAGAACTCATGATGCTTATCGACTTGATGATGTCTCGTTTTGAATTTGGGCTGTCGCAATGAATGGGGACGGGGAGCGCAAGATCACCGCGTGACTGACTCAGTGCACCGTGAATCTGGTATTGAGTCCAGGCAGTCAGTCGCACGAGCGCGCTCAGCCTCACCAAACCGTGCTTCAGGAAGGCAGGTGCTCAATCAGCCCCAGACCCACCATGCATTTCCCGAGTCATAACATTCTTCTTCAACTACCTATTCATGGGTATCGCTATGATGATGTACATAAATGGTACAAATGGTACAGATTGTTTGAAAGCATCGCCATGCCCTCACGAAGGCGTCTTGATGGCGCCCTCGGGCACGGTCTCGCTTGGCTCGAACTTGCGAGGCACCAGTCCCTCGGCCATTTCAATGGCACCTAGCATGTTCTCTTTGTTGAACAAGAAAAGACCCTGGATTGCCGCAGTGCTCGTGTGGCGATTGGATGGCTGTCCATCCTTGTCCACGCCAAACAAACCAAGCTCATCCAACCGCGCCAGGAAGCGTTCTCGGCCGTTGTGGTCGTGATCAACGTCACCGTAGAAGCGATCCCACATTTGCGCAGCCTGGTGCTTCGTCGCCTCGCCGATGCGCATCATCATGTCCACTCGCCCAGGTCTGATCAGGGCAGGATCCAGCCGGTCGATGTGATTGGTCGTCAGAAACGCAATGCGCTCCTCGCCAGCAGCGATACCATCAAGTGCGTTCAGCAGACCCGAATATGTCACGCTCGCCCCGCTGTATCCATCAGCGTCCCTCTGGCGGCGGTTGACAAACGCCGCATCAGCGTCCTCCAACACCAACAGACTCCGCTTGGGCAGCTTCGTCAGCAGATATGCTAGCTTGTCGTCGGTCATGCCCATCTCGCTCAGGTTGATCATGGCCACGTTGAAGTCAAGCTCTCCAGCCAGCGCGTGAATGAAGGAGCTCTTGCCACTGCCGGGTGGGCCAAACAGGAGGTACCCCCGGCGGTAGGGGATTCCCCGGCCAACGTACCACTCCTGACTCGAGAGGAAGTCCTTCACATCGCGCCATAGGTCCTCCTTCACGCCCTCATCCAGGATGACGGATCCTAGTGGCCTCTTGGTCTTTGGATCACCTAATGGCATCCAGTCCATCCCTCGCGCCGAGTATATTGTTGTCTTGCCCTCGTTTGCCTGGGCAGCAAGCAAATGTGCTTCCCTGAACACGTCCTCGAACACCTGCCGGTGCGCCCAGAGTGTCGTCAACTGCACAATTTCGTGCGGTTCGCCCGTGTTCATGTTCGCTGTGTTGTGTTTCTCCCTATTCACCGCGATGAATGCGCTTCCATGCTTGATAATATGCCGCCCGTAGCCCGGTTGAAGAAAGAAGTGCGCTCCGCTCTGGCCTCCAGAACCAAACGGTCCCGATGACGTGGTGGTCGTCGCTACCGACAGATTGTGTATTCGCGTAATTCTCGAAGCGATAAATCCGGGCGTCGGGCGCGGCTGCGACAGCCAAGCGAGGATCCATGGATAGGCAGGGTCTTGTTTGCTGATTTCGACGTTTACGAGCAGACGATGGCGGGCGACGTCGGCCGCTCGGATGACGCCCTTGCGTGCAAAGGCTGCGGCAGCGCCAAGGGCTCCGAGGCCAATGCCCCCAGCGAACAAGGGATTGTCCAAGAGGGCATGGAGGCCGAGCGCGGGACCTGCTGCTGTTGAGGCTTCCGACATGCCAGAAGTTTGATGGGGTAAAGGCATGAAGCTTGTATTTGATGCTGGGACTTTTCAAACAGAAATGAGTAAGCGAAACCCGCCTGATGGTGGTGGGCGGGATTCGGCATGAAAGCCGAGATCTACTGGGTGTGGCCGGCCGAGAAGAGTATACGTACAGGTGAATCACAGCTCCTGTCGACGTTGTCGAGGTATGATATGTATCCATATCTTGTTTACTTACCTGTGCTTATAGCTCGAGACATCGGGAATGGCTCCTCACACTTGACAGCGCGCGACCAAGGTGACAAAGGACCAGCACAAAGGTGGTTGTGCGCCCCCACTGTCTCTTCAACAGGTGGCCCCCGTCCTAGCATTCGCAGTATAATGGTACCTTAAGTTAGCAAGGGGATATTCATAAGCATTCACCATTTATCTGGCCGAAGCTCATGATCCCCGGCTATTTCTCCTTAGCGAGCCCGGGCCCCAGATCACATCGCTGTTCTGGCCATTCGTATCCGTAAAACAGTCTTCATGCAACCCCTCTCGTTGCTCGGGGAGGGTTGGCGCGTCCCGCATGTTTCCGTGTTTGCGCTCCGAAGCCTCCACGTCTCTCGGCTGCGACAGGAGTCAGCACCCGCCGCCGGCAATGCGATGACGAGAAGTTCAGGTAATGGAATCGTGCGGAGAAACACAGTCTGTTTGGCTCCTATGTTGGAGTCAAAAACTTAAAAAGGAGCGCTGCCCCTCCTTTTCGACCAACCCGTCTGGTCCTCTCCCCATATCTGGTACGCAATCAGCCTTTGCGCCTCAGCCTCGATTTCATGTAAGTCGACGAGATCCCCTTGCACTCGAAGCAATTGTACCCCGAAGTCATGGAGTTATCCGCAAGCACATCGCCAGCACCGCGGCAATTGTGAGATGTCTCGCAAGCGATTATGTGGTCAATGAAGCGCAGGTCGCCGTCGACTTTGTTTTTTGTCGTCGTTGCATGCACGAGCCTGGTGGGGGACACATGATGTCAATGGCACCCGAGACAACGCCAATACCAGTGCTTCATACTGCACATAAAGAACGCACAACGGGTCGGTCGCATCACGGCCATTCAAAAATGCCGCTGCAATTGTGGTTCTGGACAGTGCACAGGGCAACAATGGTCAAGGACAGCTGCAGGATGAAAGGAGCAGCGACAGTGAAGACAGTGAAGTCATGGCAACACGGCTGCCCCTCCTCAGCTCTGCTATCGATAGACCAAAAACCCCGCGCCTGCGACGCCTGACTGGAGCTTGCTGTTACCAAACATCATCACCACTACCAATTAGAGCTTCGACTAATCCTTTATCTGTTGGCAGAACTTTAATACCGCCTCCTATTTCCCTCAAAACCCAAGAGTCGCCCGGACTTCGTTGCTCCAACCTCTCGATCAACGACTTGCTCCTCTCGAAACACCGAGACAACTCACGATCTTTATTTATCAAACCCCTCCATCACAACAACCGCAATTATGGGTGCCACTGAAGTGTTGAGCCGCAAGGCCGGTGTCATTGTTGGCGATGATGTCTTGAGGCTGTTCGAGTACGCTCGCGAGCACAAGTTTGCCATTCCTGCCATTGTGAGCATACCGTGGGATACAATGGCATAACGTGGGACTGACAGTACCTTTAGAACGTCACCTCTTCCTCTACCGTCGTCTCTTCCCTCGAGGCCGCCCGCGATGCCAAGTCTCCCATCATCTTGCAGATGTCCCAGGGTGGCGCGGCTTTCTTCGCTGGAAAGGTGAGAGTCCTTTTGTAATCAAGTGCTTCGCCATGCTAATATTTCTATTTTTAGGGCGTTGCCAACGGCGATCAGGCCGGCTCGGTTGCTGGTGCCGTCGCCGCCGCTCACTACATTCGCTCGGTCGCCCCGGCCTACGGCATCCCCGTTGTCCTCCACACCGACCACTGCGCCAAGAAGCTCCTCCCATGGTTGGACGGCATGATGGACGCCGACGAGGCTTACTTCAAGGCCACGGGCGAGCCCCTTTTCTCCTCCCACATGATCGATCTGTCTGAGGAGCCCGTCGACTGGAACATTGAGACCACTGCCAAGTACCTCAAGCGTGCTTCTCCCATGAAGCAGTGGCTCGAGATGGAGATTGGTATCACTGGTGGTGAGGAGGATGGTGTCAACAACGAGGACGTTGACAACAACTCGCTCTACACTCAGCCCGAGGACATCCTCAACATCTTCAACACCCTCTCCCCCATCTCCCCCTACTTCTCCATCGCCGCCGGCTTCGGCAACGTCCACGGTGTTTACAAGCCTGGCAACGTCAAGCTGCACCCCGAGCTCCTCGGCAAGCACCAGGAGCACGTCAAGGCTGCTCTCAAGTCCGACAACCCCAAGCCCGTCTTCTTCGTCTTCCACGGCGGCTCCGGCTCCAGCAAGCAGGAGTTCCTCGACGCCATCAGCCACGGTGTCGTCAAGGTCAACGTGGATACCGACATGCAGTTCGCCTACTGTGCTGGAATCCGCGAGTACATGGTCTCCAAGCAGGACTACCTCAAGACCTCCGTTGGCAACCCCGACGGCGCTGACAAGCCCAACAAGAAGTTCTTTGACGTAAGTTACAATCTCTGGCACGAATGGTCCGTAAGCTAACATGTGCAGCCCCGTGTCTGGGTCCGTGAGGGTGAGAAGAGCATGTCTGCTCGCGTCAAGGAGGCCCTTGAGGACTTCAACACCGCTGGTCAGCTGTAAAGTGCGTTCCACATTAGGGGACAGCTAGAAGAGAATAGTAAAATAATCAAATGAAAAAGAACTTGCAACCTTGCACTGTGTGCCGTGTTTCAACATATCATCAGTCTTACTCATCTACCGCTCGCGATACCCCTAATATATCCAGTGTCTTCACAGCATCATTATATCACCCAATCTAAGGGGAGAGCCCCAATAAATAGATACTGCTAGGATTTGTAATGCGATCTAATTCCAATTACTCCTTACTTCCCGACCCTCTGCTATCGACCAAGGAGCTCCTTCTCGATACTTTGCACCTCAGCGCTGTCCAATTTCTGATCTTCGGCTTTCTGGGCCTTGGAAGCATCGAATCTCCAAAGGCCGCCCGTCTTGTCCGCTTCACCGTCCAGAGGGACTCCCGCGGCCTGACCCAACTCCTCGAGCACGGGGTCCTTAGTCTGGACGGCGTTGAAATACCGCCTCTCCCACGTTGTGCCATCTGCGCGTTCGGCTGCGCGCTTGTCGCGCTGGGCCTGTTCGATCTTGCTTTTCTCCACCGAAGTGAGATCCATATCACCCTTGCTGATGGCTTCCGCTACCTTCGACCAGGCGCGACGCGACTCGAGAGGATGCTGTTCATCTATGGGCGCAACTTTGAGCAATGTCTGGGGCGTCTTCGCAGCATCATATACTTCGAGCAGACTCTTCTTCTTAACTGGTCCCTCGTATAGGCTGAGTTCCTTGATCCATTGTCCCGACATATTGTAAAGAACTTCCTTGTCCTTATCCTCCTTACCCGTGGGGAACAGTGTGGCGGTGACCGAGTTCTTGTCGCCGCTGACCCAACCTTTGCCGGTGAACTTGATCTTGGATGTGTAACCTGTCGAGCTGACAATGTAGGTTTGGCCATCCAATTCGACAAAGGGGGCTCCAAACAGGAGGCCTTCAATATGCAGACTTGGTAGGGTGATGAGGTACTTCTCGTCAACCTTGTTCTCGCCTGACCCTACCGGAATGGTCAGGACGGCATGTCCAATCTGCTTCACAATGATCGTGCTCTTGAAGCTCGCCTTTTGCGCATTGTAACCCTCCAGCTTGATGCCCGTCTTATGATTCCGGATGCAGTATGCCGTCGCAGGAGGATGATGGCTGACCTGCTCTGAAACGAGCGTTGTCTCGCCGGCCTCGTCTTCCCACTTCCCAAGGAACAGTTCACCCAGGAAGGGGTTCAAAGGCTTCTTCTCGTTTCCGTATTCTTCGCTTCGGCTCGCGTACTGGTGCTTGAGGGTTGACAGAAACCACTTCAGCACGAGGGCAGCCCGTTTCGCAGGGTCAGGTTCGGCCGCAGGCGCAGTCAGGAGACTGGGATGCGTGGCCCAGTATGCGGAGAACTCGGTGAGCGACTGAGAGGATAGAATGAAGGGAGGCGCAGTCAGAGAGGACAAGTCGCCATTGAACGAAGCGATCGACTGTGTCGCGTGAGCCACAGACCTGAGATATGGGAGAAGTTCAGTGCAGATATACCTTCACGAAAGCCGTCCAGCTACCGGCGCCTGCCTGCGCAGCTGGTGTGCCTGGTGCTGGGGCGGGAGTCGACATTTTGTCAAAAGAATGTTGATGTCGTGGTTGCGTGGTGCTTCAGGAGAGGCACCTCTTGCGGGGACTTGTTGGTGCAACAGGGTTCGTGGGGTTCCGCTGTGGATAGGGCGACGCGGAGTTGGCAATATGGAGATCACACCAATGTCGTGTACGTACGAGGTACCTTAGGGATGGCGGAAGAGTCTGTGTAAAGGAGGGACTAAAAAGGAGGGTGATTTTCAAGGTAGTGTATGTACTTAGGTAGTCTGAGGTAGATGTTGGAACCTCGGGGGGCACTCGTTGCGTGGTTTCAATGGACCTTTTCACTTTACGGAAGGCGTTGATGTCATCTCGAAGATCACATTACACGCCAACTGAGACCTCCGGTCTCATCAACCACTTTGATGGTGTCCCGCGCACCAAAGGTGCGTCAGAATTGAGCCACTGTTTGGCATGTTCGTTGTGGCTGCCTGCTGGCAGCGAGTGTTGCCTATTGTGGCCAACGGACGTACTCGTGGCAATCTCAAATGGCTGGATAGCCACGTGTGGCCATCATCGACTCTTTGATGATGATGACTGAACAGTGGACACTGATCCGTGTCTGCGCACCGGTTAATTAAGGTATTGTCTGTTGGCAATTCCGCAGCACTTGGGGCTGCTTGGGAGTTCCAATCGGATTGGCGGGTAACCAATCCCTAAATCCGAACGCGTCCATCCCAATGACAGCATCGACATCGAATCCAGCTCATGCGCAGTTCTTCAACAACCAGCCAAACCCGCATTGCAAGGATCCCCTGATATCGCCTGGGGCCAATACGCTCACCTAGACTGCACTCACTGCGTTCTTACGACACGATCAATCTGGCTGATCTACTGTGGAAGAGGACGGGTCCTACCTCTGGAGCTTCCAGCTCGAGGGAAAGCCCCAAGATGTTGGAGGAAAGCATGACTGAACCATCAAGAAAACCATCGTTGACGCCGCAATTCTGCTTCTCATCGGGAGCGCTTCGGGGTTTGCATACTGCCCACTCATGCGCCGTTCAGACCAGCGACTAACGAGCTCAGAATTCTTGCGCCTATCTCGCTCCTCCATCGATGATTCAATCAACCAGAACCTGAACGCGCTGATCACACCTGCAAGCGCAGGCTTCGACCCGAAGTCTACTTCGCACAGATCACCGAGGTCGACGTCGCGCCAAGTCGACCCAACAGCGTGCAACCAGTTCAAGGACAAGGTTTTATACCCATCATGGCAAGCAAGGAACGATGTGCTGTACTACTGTGGCGTTGTGGCCTCCAGCCCTGACCCGGACGATCCTGAAGCAACCCTCAGAGCGATGGAGAAAGAGAAGGACAGTCACCGGGTGGTTGACGAGCGGTTAGACCCTTACTCCGGAAGATTCTTTCCGCGCGAGGCGAGGACCGAAGTTTTAGCATCGCTGATACGACAAGAAAACCAAGTAGAAAATATTGTCCGCACCAAGACATGGTCGACGATCCAACAGCGCTGTGGGGGTACAGAGCTGACTTGGGAGCAAGCCATGAACAAATGGAGAGAGGGCAAAGGGTTGACGCTGGTAAGGCCTTGAGAGACCAGTGTCCAAAAGGAAGCTCGACGAATGCCGAGTATGCGAGATTGCAAAGTACTGTATATAATTGTAAAACAGTTCCTGGAAGACATCTTCCCAGCTCCTCGAACGCACGACAACAACCATTTGACCACAAAATCGCAACCCCCGTGGTGGTAGGACTGTGCACGTTTGTCATTGCGGCAGTATCCTCGCTTTCTCCAGCGTAGTCTGTATCTGCACAAAATTTTCTGGTGCGCAACTCGACATAAGTTTTGACTACCTAGCTAACGCGAGCGCGATCTCGAGGCTTGCCAGAACCTCAACATTGAGAACCCCGCGTGAGGCTGCTGGAAGAATCGGGGCCGAGGATCCACCGACCACGATTGCAAGCTTCCACCCGCTTCTTTTCCTGCGACGCTGGCGCCCTGCACGAACCGACAATTGATTACGCTCGACGGCCGACGGCGAACTAGCAGCGAGCAGTTCGAGTCTCTCATTCCGGCCTCCAGCACGCAGCGCGCGCCTTTCTCTCACTTCGGCCTTAGCTACCCCTCCACGAAAATCGGCTCGTCCGTTAGGCTCGCGCGCACAAGCTCGACCGCACGGCTGAAGAATCTCTTTGCGAACCGCACCCAATCCAGTACATCGATCGTACTCTCCCAATCAGCTGAGTGCCGTTTGGTCACTCAGCACCAATCGCCATGCCTCAACCACTCAGTGCCAAAGACCAAACGAACTTCCGCAATGTCGTTCGTGCCTATGAAGACAAGCAGTACAAGCGTGGCCTCAAAACGGCTGACTCGATCCTGAAAAAGAACCCAAAGCATGGCGACACCATGGCTATGAAGGCTTTGATCCTCAATGGACAGCTGAAGACCGATGAAGCCTTTGCACTGGCGAAGGAGGCCCTCAGCGCCGACTTCAAGTCCCATATTTGTTGGCACGTGTATGGACTCTTATACCGCGCAGTCACGAATTTCGAAGAGGCGATCAAGGCATATAAGATGGCGCTTAGGTTCGAGCCCGAATCTGCCCAGATCCAGCGTGATCTGGCTATCCTTCAAATCCAGATGCGTGACTACCAGGGTTATATCCAAAGCCGGCAAGCCATGCTGCAAGCCCGGCCTGGGTTCCGACAAAGCTGGACGGCTCTGGCAATTGCGCATCACCTCGCTGGGGATCTGGCTGAGGCTGAGAATGTGCTCAGCACGTATGAAGGCACACTGAAGTCAAAACCGTCACGTTACGATCTTGAGCACTCTGAGGCAGTGATGTACAAGAACTCCCTCATTGCAGAACAGGGCGACTACCAACGAGCATTGGAGCACCTGGAGGAAGCTGCTAAGCAGAATCTGGATAGACTGGCCGTCATGGAGTGCCGGGCAGAATACCTTGCGAAATTGGGAAGGCGTGAGGAAGCTGCAAGTGCCTACAGGGCTCTCATCGAGAGAAACCCTGATCTCCAGATCTACTACGAAAAGCTCGTTGAAGTCCTAGGTATTAGCGAGGACAATACGTCCGAGCGCAAGGCCGTTTACGATGAGTACGCATCCAAGTTTCCCCGCTGTGATACTGCGAAACGAGTACCGCTGGACTTCTTGCAAGGCAGCGAATTCAGAGCCGCAGCTGAGGCTTATCTCACTCTCATGCTCAACAAAGGCGTGCCTTCAACATTCGCCAACCTCAAACACCTTTACGCCGACGAATTCAAAAAGAACACACTACGGGAATTGGCGGAGGAATACGTCAAGTCAGAAGGCATTGACAAGGAGAGCAAGGATAAGGGCGAAGCCGCCGGTTTGTTCTACTTGGCACAGCACTACAACTATTACATGAGCCGAGATCTGGACAAGAGTCTGGATTATGTGGAAAAGACGATTGAGAAGGACCCCAAAAGTGTCGATTACCATATGACAAAGGCCAGGATATTTAAACACCAGGGCGATCTATCGAAAGCATCAGAAATGATGGATCACGCACGAAAGCTGGACCTCAAGGACCGCTACATCAATAGCAAGGCGGCGAAGTATCAGCTCCGCAACAACGAGAACGAAAGGGCGCTCAAAACGGTGGGGTTGTTCACACGCCAGGACACAGTCGGTGGCCCAATGGCAGATCTTTTAGACATGCAATGCGTGTGGTTCTTGACGGAAGACGGCGAGGCGTACGCCCGCCAGGGGAACGTTGCAATGGCTTTGAAGCGGTTCCAGGCCGTTGCGACCATCTTCGACACATGGCAAGAGGACCAATTCGATTTCCACAGTTTCTCGCTGCGAAAGGGGCAGATCAGGGCCTACATCGATATGATGAGATGGGAGGATCATATCCGCGATCACCCATTCTACTCCCGTGCGGCTCTGGCCGCCATCCAAGTATACCTCAAGCTCGCGGACAAGCCGTCGTCGAATGGCGTAAATGGAAACGGAGAGGACGAAGATGAAGCATTGGCAAAGAAGAAGGCTGCGAAGAAGGCTAAGAAGGAACAGCAGCGTATGGAGCGCGAGGCTGCTGAGAAGCAGGCCAAGCAAGACCCGAACAAAGGCACGAAGACCGACGACGAGCCTAAAAAGAAGGACGAAGATCCCATGGGCTTGAAACTGGCAGCGACTGAGGATCCTTTGGGCGAGGCAATCAAACTTCTCGAACCACTGCTTGAGGTCTGTCCCAAGAGCATCGAGGCACAGCACGCTGGATTTGAAGTTTACATTCGTAGGCGTAAGTCTTTCCGATCATGGTCAGTGTGCTCAACGCTAATGATTAACAGAGAAACACCTGCTGGCACTTCGTTGCCTTAAGGCTGCGGCCAATATTGATGCCGAGAGCCCGAGGGTTCACGAACAGACCATTGCTCTCCGGCACGCCCTCAATGGAGCCACCGACGTACCAGACAAGGTGGCGCAAGTGCTCAAGGAGGAATTCAACCTTATTCCAGCTTCGGCCAATCTTCAGGAGACCAACGACCATTTCTTAGCGCAGCACAAGGACAGTCCCGAGCATGTCCTCGCAGCTATCAGAGCGAAGAAAATCCTTGGTGAAGACCGAAAGAGCACCGACAAGCAAGTCATCGAGATGCTGGACTTGCCCAAGACGAGGTACAACGATGCGATCAGCGCACTGCAAACCTTGCAGCAGTGGCGGAGCCCCGAGGAGGACGCTTTCAAGAAGGCAGCCCAAGCCAAGTTCCCCGGCGCTACTAGGTTTTCGTAATGAACTAGTACTCACTAGACATGCGGAGATTATGGAGAACCTAGGGGCACTCGAAATACGGTATGGTATAGTACTGCGTACCTGCGGGACAAATGCATAGGTTGGGTCCTGAGGAGATCTGCGGGAGTTTGGGATGGTGATCTGGTTAAGATACACAAAAGCCATATGTTCACTGATAGACCATATATCTTTGCATTTGCATTGTATTCTTGCCTGTGACTTTGTCACCACTGCGACAGCACGGACAGCCAACAAGGTGATCCCATGTGCTCGTGAAAGGCTGCAATGCCTAGGTAAAACTAACCTGGCTCGGGGCCCTCGGGAGCCGTCAGCATGCATGGTTTGGAGCAGCACGGGGCCCATGCAGAACGGCGTCCAAGAGGTTGCTAGGTTGCAAGAGCTCAGAATCTGCTCCGGAGGCCTTGGAGCATGCGAAGGTGTTTTGGCCTTGGGGGGCCTTGGGGCAATTGCATGTCAATGGTAGATCGCGCTGATGAATGATGGACATTGTCGCAGGCCAGGCTTCATTTGATGTGAACGCGATGCGATGATGGCAGGCGACCCTCAATACCTTACCCGGCCAATCATGCATTGATTAGTGGGACTTGCCCTGCATGCTCCCGGCCGCCTCTAGTCTCCCGCGTCGCAACCTGTGCTGCACTCTCCTTTATCCCTCGGTTGTCTCAACCAGCTCCTTTATTCTTTGTGTAGGTGCTAGGCGGAGTGATATTGGAATGCACCACGGCCAAATATGAATTAGTCTTGCCTTTTTGTCTCTCGCTTCGTTGCTCTCTAACTCTCACTGCTACTCCGTACATTTACCCAAGCTCCCAAGACAGACACGATAGACACGATCCGAACCAAGACAACTCGCATATCTACGATAGAAACCGCCTCTGGTGCCATAGTACATCGTCTCCCACCATATACAATTCGAAGCGACCAGGCACAATGGCACCCGCCGAATCCTTTCGAGTCCTAGACGACCAGGGCAGGCCAATCACCCTCGTTCAGGCGGAATCGGGCCTGAAGATCAGTGGTTCGTCGCGGCAGAGTACTTGGAAAGAATGTCTTGGCTCATGTTTTCAAGGCAGCAAATCAACTTGTGTGCCATATAGAGACATTCTGTGGAGCAGTGTCGATGCCAATGACAAGCTGGTCATCGATTTCGTCGCGCGCCCCGGTACCTCGGTTGTGGAACAGCGAAAATGGAGGGCTTTTGATACGTCAGAGGGAAGGGAACCACTCGAGCGACTCGCACGATCGATTCAGGCCATCGCGTACGGTCCGGCACAGCAGCAAAAGAAGGCCATGGTGCTGGTGAACCCTAGCTCTGGCCCGGGTCACGCCGCCAAGCTTTGGGAGAAGCAAGTAAAGCCCCTGTTCAGCGCGGCGAGGATGCACTTCGATGTGGTGTTTCTTAAGAAAGGCGGCGAGGCGACGGAGCTGATGCAACATCTGGATTACAAGGCGTACGACACAGTCATTGCCTGCTCGGGCGACGGGACGCCGCACGAGATCTTCAATGGCCTGGCGAAGCGACCTGATGCCGGCAGGGCTTTGAGGAAGTTGGCCATTGCCCAGGTGCCGTGTGGCTCTGGTAATGCCATGGCAATCAACTTTTACGGAAGTAGCAAGGCCGCCGTCGCCGCTATCGGAATTATTAAGGGTGTCGTGACGCCGGTTGACCTTGTCTCCATCACCCAAGGTGAAGACAGCAACCGCTACGTGTCGGTCCTGTCGCAGGCGGTCGGTATCATAGCAGAGAGCGATCTTGCTACAGAACATTTGCGGTGGATGGGAAGCAAGCGTTTCGAGGTTGGGCTCGTAATGCGCATCTGGAAAAAGCAGTGCTACCCCTGCGACTTGGCGATCAAGGTTGAAGTCGCAGACAAGGAGGAGATCAAGAGGTTCTACGCCGACAACCTGGACAAGGCTCAAACACCCGAGGTCTATGATAAGATGTATGATCATGAGGGTCTACCTGAGTTGAAGTATGGGACAGTCAACTCGGCCATCAGCTCCGACTGGCAGCAGATCTCTACTGACAAGATCGGCAACTTCTACTGTGGTAATGTGAGTCAAATTTATGCTGAATCCCCAAGCAGGCTGGAGCTTCCCTACAAGCAGCTAACATTCCTGGACAGATGGTATACATGGCTCCCGACGCAGGTTTCTTTCCTGCTGCTCTCCCGTCGGATGGCTGCATGGACCTTGTTACCATCAATGGGGACCTGAGCACTGTAAAGGGGGCCAACGTCTTGCTTTCCATTGAGTCGGGAAACTTTTACAACAGTGAGCACGTGTCATACCAGAAGATCTCGGCGTATCGCATCACTCCACGCAATCAACATGATGGCTACATAAGTATCGATGGCGAGAAGGTTCCCTTTGAGCCTTTTCAATGCGAGATCCATCAGGGACTGGGCAGGGTTCTGACCAGACGAGGCAGATATGAAGCTGCAGGACCCAAGGGCTGGGAGAAATACGCACAAGATGCAGCTGTTGCTGTCGAGGCTCCGAAGGGCAGTGCCCATCGAGTCGCCCCAATGGAGAGCACATCGAGTATCAACAACGGGACCAGTGTCTCCTCAGACCGCCAACAAAGCGCTTCCAAGGTCCAAGCTGTCTAGCTCCCACAGGTAGAATCGAGGAGATCTGGGAGACAATGTACTCGAAGCACATGGAGCTGCGGCTAATTTTGGGATGCCTAGCTAGGCGTGGAGTGTTGTGATACCCAACGATGCTATCAGAAGAACATCTTTACTGTTTGATACTTACTAGTATTTATCTTAATTCAAATCATGTATGCCACATAATATACGTCCTCCATCTCGACCATCTCAGGCTGGTGGCAAGTTCGGCACCAAGCACCCCCACGTGTGGATGTTTGACCAGAGTGGCAGGTACGGTGGGATATTAGATCACAAGGTGCCAACGGTATCAATGACCAATTGCACAACCACCACACAACACACATACGCACCCTCGTTATTACAGCCTCACCCAAAGAGCTGCGCACGCTATAGAATTTAATTCTATAATAAATAAATTAATTTACTGTGATCTAGCGATAGCAGACTTCGTGATAATAGTATTTATTTTTTATATAAGGCGTGTAGTAGTTATCACGGAGGCGCTAAAGTTCTTGAGCAAGATATATGTTCGTATTTAATTAGTTATAAAGTAAGGCTGTAAGTGAGGTTGTAAATAGCTATAAATTTAATCACGACCGCCGCGCCCGGGCGGTTGGCCTAGCTTCACGCCGTGAACGGCGAGGTCGCACCTCTTTATTAACGCTGCCCGCTATAGGCGCCCTTAGCCTCTTCCTAACTGCCTCATAAGGTGCCTTAGCGGGTTCCTTATCGGCTGCTTTATCGGGTGCCTTAGCGAGTGCCTTATCGGCTACTTCGTCGGGTGCCTTAAGGGCGCCGATCTTAGTTAGTAAGAGGTCTATATCATCCGACGCTTTAGATAGGGCCGTGTCGCTACGTGTCCTACCCGCTAGGTCTTATAGGAAGGCTTTAAGGCTGATCGGCTCGTAGGGTGCTGGATTTGGCTTTGATTTAACCCGAATTAAAGCTAGCGTTGATTCCTTTTGCGACCGTTCGCCTAGCGCCGTAGACTTAGCCCTCGACCGCGGCTTCCGTGGCTTTAAGGCAGGCTTTTTAGGGCTATCTTCGATAAATTAAAGCTCAATCTACACGATAACCCGGCTATTACTAATAGCCCACTAGAAATTATTATCTTAGCCTAGTATATCCTAAAGGCTATTATTTTTCAAGGAAACCGATATAAACTACCTAGGCTCTTACTTACCGTTCTTCTAGAAGGACGTGCCGATATATATTATCGACTTATTAAGTATTTTAAGGGTATTATAAAGAATAGAAGGTTTAAGGTATATAGTTAGAAAATCGGCTTTTATAAGGAATCTAAGGTCGGCCCACGAGATAAGTAGTAGATCTATTCCACCTACGGCGAATTAGCTATATTTTAGAATATCTAAATTAGCTTACTTATTAATAAAGAGCTCGAGGCTTTAAAGATACTACCTTAGAGCCTGCGACCGGTAGAATAGACTGGCTAGACCCGGATTTTAAGGCTATAGGGATTTTTAAACGGCGAGATAGGCTTAGCCGGCCTTATAGCGATAATAGCCTACCTTATGTGGCCACGTAGGTTATTAAGGCGATCGCTACGCGTTAAAGATAACGAGGATAATCGGGGTAGCGCTTGTTTAGCGATGCCACGACCTTCCGACGACGCGTAGCCGCTAATTAACGGCGATCTATATATAGTTATAGGCGTTAGAGGGTCGCTGAACGTATCTAGGGCGTCGATCTCGACTAGCTTAGGCTATCGCCGGCTATAGAAAGGGCAGAGTAGCCCGACGGAGGCAGCGCGTATTCTATCGTGTTTTTCGCGTTATAGGTGCGTATCGTAGACCGTGGGAATCGATAGCGGTGGCTCGGGTATTTCTACCACTAAAATAGACGTTAAAACACATAGCCGAAAGTAAGAGATTAATTAGACCTATTGTTTAATATAATACCGCTGGTTAGTAGGGAAAGAACGTAAGAAAGGGCTATATTCGCGGATATTATGTGGTATTATAGGGGGGAAATTATAGTAGGTCTAGTAATATAAGGATTATATATATATACATAGGCCCGTCGCGTAAGGCTTTAAACACTACCCTATATAGCGGTGAAATAAAGCTTTTCGCGATCTATTCTATATTATCCCCTTCCTCGATAGCCTGGCTTATTTATGCCTGAAATTCGGGCGGTATCGCGTTACTATAGAGGCTTAGATCGTCGAGGTAATTCTATTATAATAGACGTTAGTATTCGGTAGCGCTACTAGTATGAACTTATGAGATAGCTAAGATAGGCTGTACGCCGGAATTTTAGTGCTTTTCGATAATCTCGCGAAGCTTTAAATAAAAGCTAATAAACGGCCTTTTAAGGTTATCCTCTTCTGCTAGGTTAGCCTCGAAGCCAAGCCCTTAGAGCTATACCTTATACTAAGCCTTTGTCTCGGCGGGTAGTAGACTATCGATATCTATTGTCTCGAGAGGCTCCTATATTTCGCGAAGAAGCTACTACTATAGGCTATCGTCGTTATTATCGAAAGGAACGCCCTAGTCCGGGTTAGCGGTTATATAATATAAATCCCTTAGTATACTAGATCTAATATTAGGTCGGTTCTTCTAGTTACGGATAATATACCTATTCTATAGATAAACAAAGTTAGTAAGTTTATCGCGGATTATCTCGCCGTAGATAGCGTAGACGGCTACCTAATCGACGAGGCTATCTTCGCGGAAGAGGCTATAGCCGATTAATTCGTTAAAGAAGATAATCTAGCGGTCTATAACGCTACGCCGTAGCTACCGCTACTAAGACTCGATCCTCACGTTCCTTATGCTTAGGCTATATAAATAATAGCTATCTAGCCGATCGCCTTAGGCATAATAATAAATATTTCTATCTTTATCGGTATATTTAACTTTCTTAGGGCTAGCTTTAGCGAGTGACGCCTGCGCCGCTACCTATAGCGGCGTCTCTATGCCGTGGTTAGATCTCGTGAAAAAGGGCCGCTTTTGTAGGCGCCGGACGGCCTTAAGATATTGTTTTAACGTGCTAAAAGACGTTATTACTAATCGGCCCACGTAAAACTATATAATATAGCGGGAATAGGCGTCGATATAACCGTAAATCTAGAAGCCGACCTTCCTAAGCTTTTTATAGCTATCGAGGGACTATAAGAAGTTCGGTCCGGGCACGCGAAAGTCGCCTCTTTGCTTAAAGTTACTATCGCGGCGGCTAGCGACTTCCTCTAGAAAAGCAGCCCGATAAATATCGTATAGACGGCGCTATAAGACTATAATTTGCCCCTTTTAACGAATATATTAGTATAGCAAGCCCTTGCTAAAGCTCAAGGCCGCGCCGCTCCTCTAGAGGTCTTAGTAGAGGAATTCGATAGTATTATCGAGCCTCTCTTATTATTCTTTAACGGTCCTAACCCGGCGTTTTATACCGTGCTGCTAGCGGACCTTCTTTATAGCCGAGAGGTAGGCGTGGAAGCCTCCTTAATAAAGCTCCCGTAGAATCGATATATCGGATAGCCCGAAGTTAAAGAAGAGGTATTTAATCCGATCGATTAAGGCGTCCGAGATATCTAGCGCCTGGTGTCTTATATCTAAGCCCCACGCCTTTAGCTAACGTAGCAAGGTCCGTCTATTAATAATAGGATCACTAGCTTCTTATAGCCGTAAATTAGTATCTTCGAGAATATTATTAATTAGGGTATTTAAGAAATACTAGCCGTAAATATAGTCTTCTAAGATAGTTAGGGTCTAGCGGTGTTACGACCCAACATGCGACCGCATGCGCCGCCATGCGGCCCGCACGTGATATAACGCATAACCCACTCTTTTTCACCAGTCACTTTAGATTATCTATAAAACACTATAATCCGGATTATCGCACTTATCTTATAAGCCTCATAATCCACGGGTATTATTCGCTTCATACAAAGATCCCCTTAGTATATAAGAAGCCTAGCTTTACCATAGTTAGTCTCTACCAGCTCCTTAGCTATTAATACAATTATCTACGCAAGATCCACTATCTCGCACATAGACTATAACCCGACCGCTTAAGTTAACGACATCCTAGTATACTTAGTTTAAACCCGACTTCTATTCTATCTACCCGGTAGCTAGTCTAGACCCGAACGTCATATATTAATAGCTCTTATTTAGTGCACTACCGTGTCAAGTACTTAAGCAATACAACACCATGGCCGATATAGAGAATAATAACGTTAGGGACCTTAGCGAGACGATTAAGCCTAAGTCACCTAGACCGTTCGATAGTAACCTAGGATAACTAAACGGGTTCTTAACTTAGCTCAAGATATACCATCGACTATTCCCTACCAAGCTCGCCGATAACATAGATAAGATCCTTCACGCAGGAATATGTCTCACCGGCACGGCCTTAGCGTAGTTCGAACCACGCATAAGGGATTTTATAGAGACTACGGCTAACCTCTAAGACGACGAAACTTAAGCTATATTCGCAAGCTTCGAAGGTTTCGAGAACACTATTAAGGATATCTTCGGAAATATAGATAAGAACCGGGTTAATATTAAGACCCTACGAACCCTAAAGCAAACGGGATCTACTACGGACTACGCATCAAAGTTTCGATAATTATCCAATAGACTCGGATAGGACGACGAACCCCTTATAACCTACTTCTTTAATAGTCTAAAGTTAGAGGTCTAGGAGTAACTCTACGACAAAGACATACCTAAGTCCCTCACGGAGTATATCACGAACGCGATTAAGATCGATAACCGACTATACCTAAAGCGCAAGATATTAGGAAAAGGGAGGAATATAAATTAGTCGTACTTAAACTTTAGAAATAATAGTAATAGAGGACGTCGCTACTATCTAAACCAAGGACGCCCCCGATAGTAGAATATAGTATAGGTATATACGACAAACCTAGGACCTATAGACCTAGACGCCATATAACGATAACTCGCCGCGATAGACAATAATAAGAAAAACTCAACCTGCCACAACTACGGCAAGCTAGGTTATTAGAAGCACGAATACCGCTCACTAAAGAAAGGGCGAAGCCAGGGCTAGAGACCAGTGCCTAAAGGTAAGCCGAAGTAACTAAATATAACTAAGTCCGGCTACGATACGAAGTACCCAAGCTAGTCTAAGGTATAATACCCTAACTAAGTAGCTAACACGGAAAAAATACTAAAGAAGGTCAATAAGCAACCTATAAACTAACCAGTGGCGCACGAAGCCCTATA